CACACGCACACACAGATTTTACATTTTAACTTATTTAAAAAAAAACGTTTCACTTCTGGGATACAGCTAATGTGATTTCCATGTACGTTAAAGCTGCATTGTGTAACTTTTCTAGTGGGGGGGGGGGGGTCCTGTCACTGTTGTTTCCATGGAGACGTACTTCTCCGCCCCGATGTGGTTCATTTTGTGATCACAGGTTGGTATGTGAGTTCACGCACATTGCCTGGTATGAAAATGTTGTGTGTGTGAGTGTTGGTGGTGGTGGGAGGGGCCGATGGAGCAGATGGGCAGCCTCGCTTCTGTCAGTCTGTCCCAGGGCAGCTGTGGCTACAGTAGAAGCTTAACACAATTGAGTGTGGAGTGAAAGAATAATGAGCTGTAAAGTGTCTTTGAGTTTCTTGAAAGGAGCTATATAAATGCAAATGCAACTATTATAACTATTACTACTACTACTACAACTGCTACTACTACTACCTCTACAACTGCTACTTCTACTACTTCTACTACTACAACTGTTACTACAACTGTTACTACAACTGCTACTAGCTGCTACTACTGCTACTACTACTACTACAACTACTAGTACTACTACTACTACTACTACTACTACTACTACTTCTACATCTGCTACTACATCTACTATAACTACTACTACTACTACTATTACCTCAACTGCTACTACAACTACTACACTAACCACTACTACTACAACTGCTACAACTGCTACTACTATTACAACTACTACTACTACTACACTAACTACTACAACTACTACTACACTAACCATTATACTACAACTGCTACTACAACTGCTACTACTATTACAACTGCTACTACTACTACTACTACTACTACTACTACTAACTACTAACTACTACACTAACCACTATTACTACAACTGCTACTACTACTACTACTATAACTATTAGAACTACTACAATAACTACTACAATTGCTACTACAGTACAACTACAACTCATACTACTAATAATACTGCTACAACTACTATACACCTATTACTTCTACTACAACTACTACAACTACAACTACCAAAACTACTGTAACTGCTACTACAACTACTACTACAACTGCATTTAAAAATCTGACACAAATTATTGTACAAATTCCACAATGAAAACAAGTTACATTAACAATATTTATTTTTGTTTTTCATAATTAATTTATCTTAATAGTAGCACAAAATGCATTGGTTCAAATCTTTAGAAACAAAACAAAACAAAAAAAACACTGAAGTGAAACCACAGACTGTATGAAAATATTTATAAATACAGCCCATGAGTGAAACATGTTTTTAAATCTCCCAATTATTGTCCAACGCTGCCATCTAGTGACAAAAAATGAGAATGCACTTAAATAAGGCTTATATTATGACATTATTAATACAGTATTGCCAAATCATTAGAATGAATTAAAGGTGCATTGTGTAACTTTTCTGGTGGAGAATCCGCCAAATGATTTTCTCTATGGAAATGTTATTACTTTTTCTGGAATTTACCATGGATTCTACCTGGACGACTGAGGAATTTTACGTAAATTTTGTCTGGAATGTTCCACAGTATGGCGTTAAACCTTTCTATCTCCATGGAGACCAAACCAGACCAAGTTACACGTCAGATCTGTGGAGAGGCGACGCCGCTCACGCTCAGAAAGTTGTTTTTCTTGGTATTTCTGAGGCTATAAAACCACCTGTAACTGAATAAACGTTAAGTTGAGCTGTTTAATGTCACACTGCGGAACATTCCAGGCGACAGAATCCCAACCAGAAAAGTTACACAATGCAGCTTTAGCTTAATTACAAGTTCAGTGGGAGGATAACGACATTCGACTGGGATTACATTGTTCTGAATACATTAAAATACTAAAATTGCTTTATATTAAATAGGTGCAGTACGTTATAGAGCTTGGTGGCTGCATCAGGGAGGGCATCTGGTATAAAACTTACACTAAAAAGTTAGAATTAATTGTATAGTGAGGATATATTGGTAGCAGTGACATAAAAAGGTTTTCCCAGATATGGTATCAGTCCAGTATTTTAGAATTTTGCCGATATTTGGTACCGATATTAAAGTGCCTGTATTACGCTATTTTCCGATCCATGTTATAATGTTTCTTCGTTACAGACAGACCTGGAGTTGTTGATTTGTTTAGTTTCATTCACACAAACGATGCAGATTTAGGCTGAGTTCTTTTCTTAAACGAAAAAAAAAAAAACACACAAAAAAACACTGTTCCACACTTGTGATGTCATGTGGTGATACAGGAAGTGCTCCAATGTGCTTTTAAACTTCATACAGCTTCACATTTGGATAATTTCAGTCCTAGAATTGTCGATCTGTACGGAACAAAAGGTTTAAAAAAAAAAAAAAAAAAAAAGGTAAAAAATACATGGAAACTCTTCATGACATCACAAGGTGGAACAGAGCATTTTGAGCTTTGGATGAAAACAGACTAATAATAAAGAGTTATTCAAAAATGAAACAAAACACAACTCAAGGTCTGTTTTTGAAAAGATAACAACATTATAACACGACTTAAAGCTCACGAGAGTAAATTTTGTGTAATATAGAACCTTTAAACTAAATTAAATGCAACAAATAATTTTAAAACCCTGATAAACCCATTTTTGTGATAAGTTCTACAAAAGTGAAAAGTTAAATTGCGAAGTAAGAAGTAAGAAAACATAAAACTGTGCTCCTTTCTATGGATTTTAAAATATTAACATCGGCAAATATCGGTTATTGGTCATAGTAATAAGACAAATATCGAATAGCTGTTTAAAAAAAAAAAATAAATAAAATCCATATCAGACCATGTCTAATGTGACTCTATGTAATTCATTTATGTTAATTGAAAGCAACATTTGTATTTATAATGAAAAGGCTACTGTTATACTTTCAATTAACATCAAAATATACAGGAAAATATGATAATAATAATAATAATAATAATAATAATAATAATAATACATTTTAAAACTTAACCTTATCTTTTTATACTTAAATAAGCAAGTGCAGTTTTTATTCGTGGTAAGACGTGAGCTGTGAATGTACGAAGCAGTGAGCACAACAAAAAGATTATCATTAAAGAGGGGGTATTTTTTTTATTTCTATGGGGTATTAACCTCTAACACATGATATATTTAGATAGTTGTTTAGAATAATGCTCTCCGTGCTGAGTCACCACCCCTTCAGAGCGCTACCACAACACAATCAGCCTGCGTCCTGCTAATGAAACTGTTGTACATCGCGTCAGGTTTGTGAAGTCGTAGTGTACAGTTTTGAGTCATGTTTTTGTATATTTATGGAGAATTGTCGAGTGGGAGCAGCGTTGGGGAACTTACATTAATAAAGTAATGTTTGCTCGGTACTCGTTATTTCTTTAAAAAGTAATCCCTTTACTTAGTTACTCTCTATGGAAAGTAACTTTTTACATTACTCATTACTCTGGTGACTTTTTGGTGGTAAACTCCGTCTAAGGTTTAGCCTGATTCATCAGCCGGTTTTACTTTGTTTTACTTCGTTTCACTTCGTCTGACCTCACAGCATTAGACTTCGTTTACTCGACAGTAGGCAGGTACTTTTGATCATTTAACCAATCGTTTCTATTTGGTTGTGATGTATGTAATGCACCGCTACCGGGCTAACTGGTATATTAAGCTTTTCCCAAATCCCGTAGGAAGAAGGACAATAACGTCTTTCCCCTTGATGAAATTCACCAAACATTCTTTTTATTCCGTCTTTAAATCCTCGATCTCTGGAATCGTTGCCAACACAGAATGTCTGGCTCTTTGCTGATTGGCTGGTGCCCGAACTTGCACTTCCGGGGTTTTTGCAACCTGTCTAGTGTATTCTGATTCCTGACGTAGTCGCTGGAGAGAAATGAAATTGAGCAGAGGCACTAGGTGGCGCCAGTCTGACTATCTAAGCTTAAATACCGGCACGAGACAGATAGTCGACAAGTACTGTAAGGGAAAGCTGAAAAAAACTTTGACTTTTGCAGTTTGCCCAGGGGATTCGCTCGGTGTGGGAGGATCCTCATGACGGACCTGTCCCCTGGTGTCGCTGGAGCCCGCTTCCTCCAAAACGGTGCACTGCGACCGGATCTGGGTTGGGCAGGAAAGACCCGAGGCTTTACAGCTTCTCAAGTCAGGACCTCGCCATTCTCTGGGGCCGCGGGTGCCCACTGTGCCCTCAAACCCGGGCATGGACGGACACCCCCTGCTCCTGGCGCCACTGTCAACCAGGGCTGACTGTCTGACTGTCCTCCCCAACTCCGTCAGGACAGGAACAGGCTCGCGTACAAAAATAACATTGCGTCAAATTTAAAAAGGAACTACATTTCGGTCCCAAATTTTCAGTATTAGCAAATTACACTACTTTTACCCGAAAAAGTAGTAGTTTTTTTACTTTACGTTACTCTAACACTGTGTGGGAGCATGGGTGACGTAGCCTTGTACAGAATCTTACAACTAAATGTACGGAGGGTTTGAATAGAGCCCAGGTAAGATCACTAAATTACTCAAACATGTGTGGATGACTCTAAAACCTCTTCAGGCGCGTTTTTTGATGAGGAAACATCATAACATGGTAGAAAGCTTAAAAAAAAGTTAATTTTGCATAATACCCCCTCTTTAAAAGTGCACTGTGTAACTTTTCTGTTATTTTTTTTTTGTCTGGAATGTCCAGGTGTGGCATTAAATGTATCCATCTCGCATTTACTCAATAATGTAAATTTTTATTGGCCTAGAAACTTGCTTTCTTACTGTGAGTGGGCTCGCCTCTCCGCCAATCTGACATGTAACGTGGGCCTGTAGTGTCACTGTGGTGAGATAAAAAGTGTAATGCCATATTGTGGAACATTCCAGAAAGAAGCAAGGCCACATCTACCAGAGAAGTTATGGAGTGCACCTTTAAAATAAAACGAAATAACGACCTTTTAAAGCTGACGTGATTTTGGTGAATTCAGAAGCATTTGGCACATTCATGCAAAATAAATTATTGAAACATAAACAACACAACAGAAAAAAAAACAAAAAAACATGTAAACCTCTCACTGCAAGAATAAAACATTTAAAATTCGCAAAAAACAAAAGTGCTTTGGTAAAAGAGGCCCTCATTGTTAAGACGTTATGTGTGTGTCAGTCTTTAAAATTGTACTGGAAAAGGTTCATGGCTTTGTCCAACTTTATGCATCCAAACGGGCATCCATTTTGTCTTCTTCTTCATCTTCATCAGATTTAAATTTATTTATTTTTGGGATATTCTCAAATCTGGGTCCAGTTTGTGTCGGAGTGAAGCTGAGCAGAAGCCAAGGAAGAAAAACCTAGAGAGAGAAAACATTTTAAAGTATAATTATCCTTTCAACAAATAAATGTATTTATTTTTAACAAAAAGATTAAAAATATGAAATAGTGGTACAAGACTGAAGCCAAACCAGTGTATTGAATTGTACCATGGTAATAATAGACTTTATATTTACAACCACATCTTTTCTAAATTGGTTTGTGTTAGTTCAATTTCATCTCAACTGGTGGGGACTCATAGAACTGTAGTTACAATCTTAACTCTCATTTGACGATTACTACAAATGAGACAAAGTATTTCACCTCAATAACCATTCAAGTTGTATTATTTTATAGTTTACTTTTATTCTGCACTTGCCACAATTAAATAAAACAATTAAAGCTTTATGTGTGAATTTTTGTCATTACATTAAGGGAAAAACTATGAAAACCACAACTGCAATTTTCAACATACTGCTACTTTTAGTATCTTGGTATATATTTTTGACTTGACTCACCTGTATCTGTGTTGTGTATTCTCAGTTCTATATCTGCAGGTTATAAAATCCTTGATACCTGACCTGTGTATGTTTATGTTTTCCATGACTGTTTCATGACCTAAAGTGAATTTTCCATGACTTTACAGCACCAACATGTGTAGAATTGATCAGACTTTTAGGACTAAATATGAAATGTTAACGCTTTCCACTCACCTTATGGTTTGGTTTTATAGTTTTTTAACATTCAAAATACTGTCAGTGCATTTATTGTCGTCTCTTTTAAACAAAAGGCGCAGACATTCAGAAATAATCATAACAGCCTCATGAGAACTTAACAGAATGCTGGAGTTGTGTGAAAGAGATACTAAAATTCCATGACTTTTCTAAAACTTTCATTGAATTTACAAAATTCCATATTTTTTCCAGGCTTGGAAAATGGCATTTTTAATTTCCAGGACTTTTTCAGGATTTCCATGACCGTGGGAACTCTGCTCATAAGATTCTCTTCGTGTCTTTGGTGTGCGCTTTTTGTCGCACGTTTAAAAATCATTTAAGACGAAAAAATCATGTGTGGCGGCCTTTAGTGTAAATATGACTCACCTGTACCTGTAACTGAGAATCTTCTGTATCTTTAGTTCTATATTTGGAGGTTATAAAATCCCTTATACCTGACCTGTGTACGTGTACTGTAGTATTAACATGACTCACCTGTACCTGTGCATCTTCAGTTCTAAATCTGCAGGTTGATGAAGGGGGCGAACCCGAGCACGTCCTGCAGCAGCACCAGCGCCCTCTGCAGGGGGGGCTCTACGTCCATCTCCACCCCTCGTCTCCTCAGAGGCTCCAGGCTGTGCTCAGACACGTTATGACAGTGGTTCACTTTGAGGGAGAGGAGCCGGGGGCAGTACTCCGTCAGAGTCCTACAACAGCACAGGGTCAGACTGGGTTAAATATACACTACTGTTTTAATTAGAAAGACGCAGTTTATATTAAGACAATATCAGGTTTTTCACTTTGTTGTTTCCAAAAAGATGTTATTGCTTTGTCTAGAATGTTTCACAGTGCGGCATTAAATCTGTCTTCATGGAGACCAAACCAGACGAAGTTACAAGTCAGATCTGTGGAGAGGCGACCCGCACACGCACAGTCAGAATGTCTGTTTTTCTAAGTGTTTTTGAGCTGTAAAACCACCTGTAATTGAGTAAATGTAAAGTAGAGATGTTTAATGTCACACCGTGGAGCATTCTAGGCAGAGCAATGACGTATCCATAGAAACAAGCAGGTGACGGACCCCAGTCAAGTTACATAGTGCACCTTTAATGCTAAAGTCCAGGCTGTGTGTACAACTGAAAAGGTTTTCATTCTGCACTCTTCTCTCTCTTTTTTAATTTTATGATTATTTATGTTTTGATTTGTTTGTAAAACAGGACTAAACCAGGTCTAAACCAGGACTAAACCAGGACTAAAACAGGACTAAAACAGGACTGAACCAGGACTGAAAGAGGACTAAACCAGGACTAAACCAGGACTAAACCAGGACTAAAACAGGAGTGAACCAGGACTAAACCAGGACTAAACCAGGACTAAACAGGACTGAAAGAGGAGGACTAAACCAGGACTGAACCAGGACTGAACCAGGACTGAACCAGGACTGAACCAGGACTAAACCAGGTCTAAACCAGGACTAAAAAAGACTAAAACAGGACTGAACCGGGACTGAACCGGGACTGAACCGGGACTGAACCGGGACTGAACCAGGACTGAACCAGGACTGAACCAGGACTGAAAGGACTAAACAGGACTAAAACAGGACTGAACCAGGAGGACTAAACCAGGACTGAACTAGGAGGACTAAACCAGGACTAAACCAGGACTAGAACAGGACTAAACCAGGACTAAACCAGGACTGAATGTCGGGACAAGGTGCGCCCGCGTACACTGTCGGGAGACCGGGACCAGATTAGGACTGAGACTGGGACTGAGACCAGGAGTGAGACGGTTTAGTCCTGGTTTAGTCTTGGGTCCAGTCCTAGTTTAGACCTGGTTCAGTCCTGGTTCAGTCCTGGTTCAGTCCTGGTTCAGTCCTGGTTCAGTCCTGGGTCCAGTCCTAGTTTAGATCTAGTTTAGACCTGGTTCAGTCCTGGTTCAGTCCTGGTTCAGTCCTGGTTCAGTCCTGGTTTAGTCCTGGTTTAGTCCTGGTTTAGTCCTGGTTATCCATTTTTTCCATTATTCATTTAAACACAAAATTGAGAATTGAAAAAACAAATCATTATCCAATTTTTCATTTTGGTTTTAGAGACAAATAATGAAGAAAATAGTTGTTTTTAAAATTTTCGTATTTTTGGTTTCATTTTGAAAAACGAATAAACGATTGATACACGGACTCGGCCCAAATAGATCAAATATGAATTATTTTAAACTAACATTTTTAATCAATTTACCAAAGAGTTCAACTAAATTTAGTGATTACAAGTTCAGGAAAGTTGAGCTCCTTCATTAATGCACAAGTTTGTTACACAGACTCCGTTTTGGCTCGAGCTTCACCTGATGCTGTGGTCGTTGACCCTGAGGCAGCCGGTCAGGTCCAGCCTCTCCAGCCCCCTGCAGTTTTTGGCCAGCGCCTCCACCGCCTCGTCCGTCACGTTCGCGTTCACCGCCAGCGAAACGCTCTTCAGCCTCACACACTTCCTCGCCAGGTAACATATGGCCTCGTCTTTGAGCTGCCTGCACGCCGTCAGGTCGATGGACTGGAGCTGCGGGCAGTGGTCGGAGAGGCTGCGCAGCGAGAGACTGTCCACCCACTCGCAGTGCGCCAGGCCCAGGTGCGTGAGGTGGGTGCAGGTGAGCGAGACGGCCACCAGGGAGCGCCGCGTGAGGCAGGTGCAGCCGCGCAGGTCCACGCGCTGCAGCTGCTGGTTCTGGCCGATCACCGGGAGCAGCTCCGAGTCCGTGACCCAGTCGGAGCAGCAGAGCAGAGACAGAGACTGGAGCACGCGGTTGTCTTTGAGCATAGAGCAGAAGGCCTCCCGGGGGATGGACGGAGCCAACTGAAACAAAACAAGGACAAAATGTAAATCATAACAAATTTTGTGCATAGAGATTTATTAAAAGGTCCATATTACACTATTTTCTGATCTATGTTATATTTCAAAAACATTCTTGGAGTTTAGGGCCGAACGATTTTAAGAAAAAAATTTAATTGTGATTTTTCTGGCAGATATTGCGATTTCGATCTCATCCACAAATTTTTTTCAAATCAAGTTTCAGTGCACATGAAGATTTACAAACATCACAGAAACTTACATCATACCAGAGTCCGGCACCGATGATTTGAGGCTGGACCGTAAAGCCCAGTTTACGCTGACAATAAGAGCTGTGATTGGTCGTCTCTACCACTGCTCTACACACACACTTCCTGTACTCCGCTTTCCTTTCTTTCAATATACAATGAGTAATAATGAGTTTAATGCAGCTTTGTGCATATTTCTTTATGTTTTGCAGAAACGAAACTTAAAACCACATGAAAAAAAAACAGGAAAAAAACCCAGCTCGCTCAAGGTTTAAATCCTAGCCTCCTAGCGTCATGCCGGTGAATTACTTCCTAGACCTAGACCTCGACGCAGATCCATAAATCAAAAATTACGATGACAGTGTGCGCTGAGTTGACGCAGAACTAAACTGAGTCGACACAGAACTAAACTTCGCCCTTAAATTGGGCTTTAGGAGCACTGCAAAAAATATGCCTCAAACCTCATTCAGATTCACACCTCCGTGCGCTCTGAGGTCCAAGAGTCAGTTCCAGCTCGGGCCTAAAACAAGATTTACAACCAGGGAGGACAGGTCCTTCTCTGTGGTCGGCCCCAAACTCTGGAACATTCTGCCCCCCCAAGTCCCAACAGCCCCCACAGTGGAGAGTTTTAAGTCTCGTCTTAAGACCCACTTTTATTCTCTGACTTTTAACACCGTGTGAGTTGTGTGGTCCTCTGTATCTTTTATTTATATTATTTATTCAGGGATCCCACTATTTTAAATTGACAAAATTTCAAAACTTTTCTATGACTTTTTCATGACCTAAAGTGAATTTTCCATGACTTTACGGCACCTACATGTGTAGAATTGATCAGACTTTTAGGGTTAAATATGAAATGTTAACTCTTTCCACTCACCTTATGGTTTGGGATTATAGTTTTTTAACTTTCAAAATCCTGTCAGTGCATTTATTGTCGTCTCTTTTAAACAAAAGACACAGACGTTCGGAAAAAAATCAGAATACCCTTATGATAATTTAACGGAACGCTGTAGATGCGTGAAAGAGATACTTAAAATTACATGACTTTTCCAAAACTTTCTTTGAATTTGCAAAATTCCGTAACTTTTCCAGGCCTGGAAAATGACATTTTCAATTTCCATGACTTTTACAATTTCCATAACAGTGGGAACCCTGTTTAATTTATTTATTTTACTTATTTGCTGCTATTTTATTATTTTTATGGTTTTGCTTTCATTTTATTTTACTGATTTTACTGGTATTGCGGTCTTCATTTTACAATCTCTGTGCAGCACTTTGGAAACTGCTTTGTTTGTAAAATGTGCTGTAGAAATAAAGTGGATTTGGATCTGGATAATGTGAAATACCGGAGAGAGGTGGAAGTCCCTGCAGTTGGCGAGGTAGAGCTGGATGAGGCTGTGGAACTGTTTGGAGACTCTCTGCAGCTGCATCAGGGTCTGAAGAGGAACCAGGGACAGAACCCGAGGAACCAGCACGTCCTCCCACGGAAGGTCCAGGAGATGACACCTGAGAGACACAGAGACAAAGAGGAGTCATTTACAGATCCTAGAATGTGAACTTTGACTTATCGTTAATGTACGGTCACTGTAACATCACCTTTTATTTTGATACGTTCATAAACCTCTTTGCCATTATTATTAGTTTGCACAACCATAAACGAAAACAAAAAAAATTATCATTTTCATTCTCATTGTGGTTTATTTTGAAACAATAAACTTTTGTGCCTTCGTTAACATTATTATTAGTTTGTACGACCATAAACAAGGAAAAAAATTAAATAAAATCCTTACATTCTTCATTCTCATTCGGCTTATTTTGATACGATCATAAACGATAAACTTCTGTGCCGTTTTTCACATTATTATTAGTTTGTACGACCATAATGCAGCACAATACAAGAAAAAAGGAAAAAAAATTGGGTTAAAATTATATTATGTATGCACAGTATGTAATTTATTTTGCTATATGTAAATATTCTTAAAGTTTCGTCATCAATGCACAGAAGTAACCACATAATTTTTGAATTTTTGAAACTATGGTCATGAACAGGGGTCGGTTCATGTACGTTTTTTTCTTCTTAAAAACACAGTTGAGCACTTCCTGTATTACTGTGTTTTCAGTTTGAGAGAAGAATTAATTATGCAGGTGTGTTTGTGTGTTAAACATGTGTGAATGAAACAAAACACAACTCCAGGTCTGATGAAGAGAAGAGGTAGAGCGCTTCACTGGGTCATTAAAAAAGTCAAAAGTAGCAGTGCAGGTCTGCAAGGGTTAACTTGAAATAGTAACAGAATGTGCAAGGTACAAACCCGAGGCACACCGACTGAATATATTAAAAGTCCTTTATTACATATATGTTTTATATATTTGATAGCTACATCTACAGTACCAGTCTAAAACATGCCAAATGTGTCTTGTTGGTGTTTTGTGGGTCTGCCCATCACCTACACTTTCCTCATGGTTCGCCAGCCTTTTTTGTTTCTTTTTCCTATAGTCATGTGATCTTGTCATGTATACATAAATGATTTGTAATTGTATTTAACGACACCTGTGGGTCCTGTTTCTCCCTAATGCCCTGACGAAGACTAGCCTGATTCATCAACCGTTTTCACCTCATGGAAACCGTCTGACCTCGCAGCTTTAGGATTCGTTCACTCGACGGTAGGCGGGTAGTTTTATTCAAGCAATCGCTGCTATTTGGTCAAGACGTATGTAATGCACCGGGACACTCATTGGTGTCCAAGTAACTGCCGGCACAACAGCAAACAAGGAAGAGAGTGAAAATTCTTGATCTCAGGAATCGTTGCCAACACAGAATGTCTGTCTTCGTCTGCATCCATCTCGATGCTTTGTTTACTGTTGTGCTGTTCCACAAAAGGGACCCAGACAGGTGCTTGAGTTTGACGTCATGGCTTCACAGCTCTTCACTGATTGGCTGGTGCGCGGTCTACAACTTCCAAGTTTTTTGCAATCTGTCTAGTGTATTCCGATTCCTGACCTAGTCGCTGGAGAGAAATTAAATTGAACGGGGGGCACTAGATGGGGCCAGCCTGGCTAGACGAAGACCATCTTGCTGGTCAAAATGTGTTGGCGTCCCTCCATGTAATAAAGGACTTTTAATATATTCAGTCTGTTTGCCTCAGGTTTGTACCTTGGCCGCTTTTACATTCTTTAGTAAGGGCTACATTTTGTTAATACAACTCCTGTTTCCTGTTTGTGATGAGGAAACAACATTATAACATCAGAAAATTGTGTAAAACTAAAATACTAAACTAAAAATAATTGTCAGTGATCAGAGTGGATCTTTTTAATAGAGAGATCTACAGTCAATCCTCTGTCAATAAAAGCTTTTTAAAAGTTCTGGAAGTTTTCAAAAGCCAGTCTTCTTATTTATCTTTGAAAAAATTTATATTGGGCCTGTTTTAATAGAAATCAATATAACAAAACACTGGTATATTTTACCATATCTAAAAACACAAATTTAAGTATATAAATGAAATAAAATTAGAGTGACAGTGAGAATGAGATGAACAGAAAGTGGGTCAGTCACCGTGGGAATTCGTCATGGCTTGCTGTATTAAGTGACCTCTAAAATAGAAGGAGAACTTTTACAGCTACACTGAAAACCAATTAAATAGACATATAAATACATGGATTTAACATCAAGATAATTTTAGATTAAAGCATTTATGATTCTACAAACACTCAAATTTGTCAAATCTGTTATTATTATTATGGATAAACCTTATGACAACAACATAAAGGCAGAATTTGAGCTGTTTTAAATAAAATGTAAAATCTAAAAGTGATTATATATGCAATCTGATGTTATTAGATTCTAAAACAAAGCCACATGTGTTAAAATTATTATGAGAAGATGGATTCATGTCATATTAAAGTCATACAGTTGTCATAATAAAAGCACTGATATTAATGCACATGCTTTGTAAACATTATTGTTGAGTATAATGCTCCCTACAGTCGTGTTTATGTTTGATCACACATGGCTGAGTTATAAATAAGTTCATTTATTGCTGTCCAGGCTGCTGCACAAACCCTGAACAGAGGCTAACAGCTGCTAGCCTCGAAGCTAACGCACCGGCGCAACATCTGGCTGTTTTTCTAAATGAAAACACGGATCGCAAATGCAACTCACTCTGCTTTAGTCGCTTGTTTGTCCATTTTATCTGCAGGTTGTTGTTGAAAGTTGACAGGGACGAGTTAAGCTTCACATCATAAGCAAAACTATCCGAAAAACGCTAGCATTTTACGAGCGGAGGACCCTGACCAACGATGAGTTCAAATCGCGCCGGAGAAAAGACAATTATCCCCCAAATATAACGAGAATAAAATGTATAAATGTGTTTTATTTAGCCATTCTTTTAAACAAACTGGAATCATTACGAAATTGTGGTTTGTTGAGAGTAGTACGTGAACAGTTTAATACATTAACTAGAAAAAAAAAAATACGGTAAAGAAGTACGAAAAGTTTATGAGACGTTTACATTGTACAAGATGCATTTGAACACAGCCTTGGCGTTCTTCCGGGTTGAGGTAAATAAATGTAAAAATATTATTATTATAAAACGGTATTGTACAATAAATGTCACATATACTCAACTAAAATGCTAAAATAATGTTATCTGAATTATTATTATTATTATTGTTATCTAAATCCCGAATGCACAGTTTTGAAATTACATAAAATTAACACTGACTTCATGGATTATTTTCAAACTATTTTTGTTTATATGAGTGGATCTTAAAGGTGTAAATGTGTAACTTTTATTGAGAAGATCTGCAGCCTGTTTGTCCCTATGGAGATGTTAATGCTTTGGTAGGGTGACCAAAATTTCAAAATCAAAAACTGGAAACTTTCAGTTTGGTAATCATAAAATTGTGAAACAAGAAAAAAACAAAACAAAAAAAGTTATGCACTTGGTGAGTTAGTATAGTCACATTTTCTTAGTATTTTTGGTCATTTTTAAGCAGCTTTTCTGTATTTTACCTAAACAAATAACAATTTATGCCTCTCTTTACTGTTGACAGGGATCAGATTGGTCAAAAATGGGGACACCTGGGACATTTTTTGTATTAAACTGGGACAAATCACTGGTTTTGTCTAAATCTGTTGGGACAGGGGACACACTCAAAACTGTGACTGTCCTGGGTAAATAGGGATTAAATTGTCCATGTATTAAACTCATCTGCATTTATCCAACTACAAGTGTTTTTTCATGCTCAAAAAATTCTTAAAAATCATTAATTCTTACTGTGAGTGTGGTCTCCTCTCCACAGATCTAACCTGCAATTTGGCTCACAAGTCTCCGTGGAGATTCATACATTTATGGTTATACTGTGGAACATTCTAGGCACATCTCCATGGAGACAAGCCGGTGACAGACCCGCCACCAGACAAGCTACACAGTGCACCTTTAATAAAACCTTAAGAAAAAAAGGAAAGAAAACTGTCCAGAACTGTAAAGTAGACTTTTTTCCTTATAATATTTTTTATATTAATAAAGGGAACTCATTTTTAAACCCATTTTAATCCTTTACTTTATTACTACTAAATTCTAAGCAAAGATATACCTGTCATGATTGTTTATGATGTAATACTAAATCTAAACGCAAATGTATTTATTTTTATTTTATTTATCTATTTACTTTGGGCATATGATGTAACAAAATAATAAATATAATAATAAAAATACATTTAGAATCCATGGCAAAGGAGGAATTAAATTTGTCATCTGTCCAAAAGTTTATTTTGGTTTCATTTTGCAGCTCATCCAACATCTGACCAGAACTCAAGAAGCAGCTTGGATGGACCAAAATAAACTTTAGTCCAGTTGACAAATTGGATTTTTTCTTTGCCAAATAATGAAAATATGTAAAACAACATGTGTAGCAAGTAACAATATGAAAAAAAAAAAGTTAAAAGCATGGCAATACTTCCCCCTAATTGTAACACGACTTCTTTTTTAAACAGTCTAAACAAACACTGCTGCAGACACAAAGAGTCTATTCAGGCTTAAACGCTGACCTGGAGTTTTACTGAGCGTGAATGAAGCTGTCACAGACACTCTCTCCTCTCTCTGTCCTCTCCGGAGTTTTATTCCAGCTCAAACATGGAGTCTAATCATAAAAACATTTATGATTTCTGCGCAGAGACGCTGGACGGACGCACTGTCTCTCTGTCAGAGTTCAGAGGAAAAGTGATGCTGATCGTGAACGTGGCGACTTTCTGAGGATCCACCATCGAGGAGGTAAAAATACGGGTTTAAAATATGGACTAATGTCACTTATTGATCAAAAACACTGGTGCAGATTAGATCCATGGTTACTTCTACATGTTTATGACAATAAGTACAATTTGTATTTCCAGTTCAGCTTGTTTTTAGACCATGGGGTGAAAATTAGACTATGGGGGATTACGATAGTCTCCATTGTTAATTGAAACACTGAAGTAAGTATAGACAGATTAGACCAGGGGTGGGCAAACTACGGCCCCGGGACCATATGCGGCCCTTTAATCTTTTTAATCCGGCCCGCTGAACTTGAATAATAAAAACAATTTTCACTGTTTTAAATGTTATTTCAAATAGTAAATACCATGGGACGAGTTTTGTAATGATTTTCAATTATGGGATATTTCAATAACATGGGATATGTTTTCTACTTACTCCATGTTTTTTGTTTTTTTTTTCTCTTATGAGGTGGTTTACCAAAAAACTCCATCCATTTGCTCCAAGTCTGGCCCTTCTGTCAAATTTTAGAACCCTTTGTGGAGTCAAAAATTTGCCCACCCCTGGATTAGACAATATTTAATAGTGAAGTTAAGGCAGAGATGAGTTAATACTGATACAAATTTATGTTTAACCCAATTATCCTTTTGCCCCCGATAATTATTTTTACCTGACTAGAAGTTTCTACTTTACTGGTCAATGTTTCAGAAGTGGGTTTAGTGTTTTTGTTTTAACAAATACATGTGTGATTATCAATTGACAGCATTGATTTTAAGGGTTAGGGTTAGGGTTATCATTAAGAAATTGCGATACAATACATACCTCGATACATAGGCCACGATACTGGGGATGTAACGATATCCAAATCTCACGGTACGATATTTATTGTGATATTTTGGAGAGGCTGATATAATTGTAGATGGGACACTTTTTTGCCTGACAAGATTTTGGTGTGAATTATTACCGTCATAATCCCAAGAATTCAAGCAAAAAACATATTTCTTCATGTTGTCTGCCCTGAAATGAATCATGGGATATGTAGTTCCCATTTTTTATAAGCTTTTGTTACTATAAAACGATGCATTTAAGCAAAGGAACTTGTAATTCGATATATTGTGACAGCCCGCAATATTATTGTGAGACTTTTGGTGATACGATATCACGATATTTCAGTTATCTCTTCACGATATGTATTTTGATACAGTTTCACTTTCAGTTCAATTCGAAATATTTCAAATCGATTCAATACAGTATAAAATAAAAAATAAAGGCTAAATCATGGTTGTAACACTAAAAGTCTTTGTTAAACCACTTCTTGTGCAAAGTTCATATGAAACACAAACATTTTAATCATCAAAACAGTGAAAATGTCGCATAAACGAGTTTCCTTCTTCTGAACAAGCAACAAAACTGTAGCTGTAACAAAATAATTTAGTAAAATCTACCAAAAAATACTCTTGGTCAGGACTCACCCAACTTTTTTCTCTGGGGGCCACATTCTGACTCCTGACTGTGTTGGGGGCCAGGGTCGGGTCGGTCGTAAAACAGAATTGTTTGACCCTGACGACGCAGATTATAATCTTTGAAAACCACCACAGTTTTTTTACATATCAGACAAATTGCACGGTCCTCACACTGAACAAAAAAATCATCCACGTCCACTGTTCTTTGAAAACTCTGCACTCTCTGTCAACTTTTCGTACATTAACACGAGTCATTTTTCTGTCCTTAACTGCACTACAGAACTCTGCATGTGTCACTGTCACTGTTTGATCTCGAGCTTGTCAGGTGACGAAAATTCGTCGGCAAATGTAAATACGTCATATAATTATTTAAATATAGATATAAGTACTTCATACAGATATATATAATTTTAATTGCAAAAAATCAACAATATACAAGATACAGACATGTTATTATTTGCCAAAAAGTAATTTAAAAAAAAGTCCATGACAACTTTTGAGGGCCTTAGTTTGATGAACCCTGCTCTTGACGATATATTGATAAAGCCACCCACGATATCGATACTGTATCATCACATTAAACGAAAAGATACAATATCGATATTTCAATATTTTTGCACACACCTAATTATACTATACTGAATGTTTAATTAACAAGAAGACAAAGTTGTTTTTATTTTAGAAAGGAGTTCAAGACCAAACTGGCTGATTATGTTACATGTTTGGATGTTAAAAAGTAAAAAAAATGTTATAAATATTTCTTTAGATAGTGAGATTTGAGTGTGCCTTGGGCTTTTTGTCTCCTTTTTTTCGCTCTATCAATGTGTGTGTATGTTGTTGTTGATTCATTTGATTTGTTCTCTCTCAGTATCCTCGTCTGAATGCACTGATGGAGACGTTCGGTCACCTCAACTTCACCGTCCTGGGATTCTGCTGCAACCAGTTTGGACTCCAGTCTCCAGGTGATTTCACAGCTCTAAGACTGTAACACATGTGATTTAAGATGAACTTCTGCTTTATCATGTTTATATTTTGCGTTTTGTTGTTTTGTCGCGTCAGAGGTGAACCACGAGACCCTGAACGTCCTGAAGTATGTCCGACCTGGAGGAGGGTTTGTGCCAAAGTTTCCCATTTTTGGACGAATCGACGTCAATGGTTTAAATGAAGAACCTCTCTTTACTTACCTCAAGGTCTGGAACACTCTTATTTATACGGTTTGATTAAAGGTTGTATGGAGGATTTTTTTTGTTTCAAATTGTCAATGATAGATTATAGATGCAGTAGCCTTGTAATTATGATGACCAAAAAAAAGAGAATAAAAATTCATCAACTCTGGACGTGGTGGGGCTAAACATTTGCCAATAGATAACGACACTGCCTCGTTATCTGTGAGCTGACAGGCTGTCAATCAAACTCCCTATGTTTCTAGCGTAACTGACTTGCCTGCGCGCTGCCATTACGTGGTTTACGTACGACTGTCACGCAGTCCACAGACGCAAGACGCACAGACGCTGTTTACTCCACCAACGCAACAGTTCTTAGCGGCTTTTTTGACCTATATCTTCCTCACAGTTCGCACAAAGTTTGTTGCGATGGCGACAAGAATCCAGGAGCAGTTCGCCGCAAAAGAAAGTCAGTTTTTGAGGTCGCGGAAAGAAGAAGACAAGGGGAAAAGCAGCGAAGCCAAACTAAGGTGATTCTTGGAGATTCATTCCAGCGATGGCGCAACTGAAGCAGACGCAGGGTCTAAAGACTGAAGCACTGGTCCACAAATTACTCCTGGACAGGTCACTTCTGCTTATTATGAAAAAGTACTTTATTTTTTTATTTCCAAGAGCTAGACAAACATTTTTCAGGACACGAATGCGATATCCTATGTCTGAAAACGTAATTTTCAATGCAAAGAAAGAGTCCGCTTGCTGCTGCGTGTTGTAGTAGTAGCTTCATTCGCACGGAATCTCTGCGCAACCTTCTCTGCACCGCTTACAGCTCCTCTCCCCGCTCCCCGTTTCGCTCTTCTCCCTGCTCCTCACTTCTTTTCCGCGCACGAAATCTCCGCGCACTCCCTCCCCCCGCTCCTCACTTCTCCACCTTGCCTAACCAACACTGTAGTTAGTTGTTTAAAAGTTATGTGCAGCGATGAGGACTTTCTGGCGTAAGGAGGAGGAGGGAGGAGGCGTTTCTACGTAGGAGCTGTGGGGGAGGGGGGGTGGTTTCACACATGCGCAACATTTGAAAAAGGACAAACAGTCGCTGGATTTCTCGTTCCTTGGAAAATCCTCTATACAACCTTTAATGCAACTTCTACACACCTCCCCAGGATCACTCACTCACGCACTGCATTCATACTAGACAATGTGTGTGAAGTGTCTTGCCAAAGGACACAACAGCAGGATTAATTTGTCAGGAAAATGAGCAATGGGAAAATGAGCAACTTCACCATCAGGACTTAGACTTGTGTTGTGTTGTCTTGTCCGAGCTTTCACCTTCGTTTGTTTGTCACCACCAACCCAAATACTGGTGGTTCAGCCCTTACAGAAAAGTTACATTCTGCCTTTGTGTCCTTGAGCAAGACACTTCCCCTTGCCTTGAATAATTGTGGTGTAAGTGAGTGGCAGCGATAAACTCTCATTTGTTCAGGTGACGCTGAATCTAAACACGGCGGTGAGCAGCAGAACGTCTGGGGCAAATAAACCAGAGAGAATAAAATATCAAATATCAAAATTTAAATTTGCACCGAAATCCTTGTATCATTCGTTCATTAGTTTTTCAGTATAAAGTCAAAAATAAGAAAGCGAAAAAAACAACTATTTTCTTCATTATTTGTCTCCAAAACCAAAATGAAAAAACAGAAAATGATTAGTTTTTTCATTTTTCGATTTTGTGTTTAAATGAAAAATGGAAAAAATAGATAACGACCATTTCCTGTTGACTTCACTTAAACTGCGATGCCGGACTGAATCAGAACTGAACCAGGACTAAAACAGGACTGAACCGTCCTGGTCTCAGTCCCGGGCTGGTCTCAGTCTTGGTCTCAGTCTTGGTCTCAGTCCCGGTCTCAGTCCCGGTTTCAGCCCCAGTCTCAGTACCGGTCTCCGTCCTGGTCCTGTTCCCGGTCTCAGTCCTGGTCCTTTTTCCTGGTCTCAGTCTTAGTCTCTGTCGCGGTCTTACTTCCGGTCTGGTCCCGGTCCTGGTCCTGTTTCCAGTCTCAGTCCTGGTCTCAGTCCCGGTCTCGAATCGCGGTCTGGTCCTGGTCTGGTCCTGGCCTCAGTCCTGGTCTCAGTCCTGGTCTGGTCCCGCTCTAAGTCCTGGTCTGGTCCCGGTCTGGTCCCGGTCTCAATCCTGGTCCTGTTCCCGGTCTCAGTCCGGGTCTCAGTCACGGTCTGATTCCGGTCTGGTCCCAGTCCTGGTTCAGTCCTGCATCACAGTTTAAGTCACAGAAATGGAAAACAGCTGTTATCCTTTTTTTTTTTCCATTTTTCATTTAAACACAAAATCGAAAACTGAAAAAACGAATCATTATCTGTTTTTTCATTTTGATTTTGGAGACAAATAATGGAAAAAAAATTGTCTTTTCATTTTCTCATTTTTATTTTTTTTTTATATTGAAAAACAAATGACCCAATGATACACGGACTCACCGAGACAGCTTTTTAATTGGAGTTATTTGAAATAAACTTTAAATAAAATATCGGAAACAGAGGTCGAAATCTGTTTTGAAAAATGAAATAAACTGTTTTCCCATTTTATTGTTTTCGTTCTTCATTGAAATTCAAAAGAACAAACGGTACACAGACCAATTATAAAGAGACTCTATGACAGATTTTGTTTTTCACTTTTTACAAAACGTTTCTTCTGTAAACTGCAGTAACTATTGCACAAACTTTTCTATTATTACTGTCTCTGTGCAGCCACAAACACCGTCTGTTTCGCTGCTGCCGTCCTGTTTAAACCTTTATGGAGCTTTTACATAACACATCTAATTGTACAACTGTCTGTCCCCAGGAGTCCCTTCCCTTCGTGAACCCTGTAATTGGCGACATAAAGAAGTTTTACTGGTCTCCGCTCAAAGTCAATGACATTCGCTGGAACTTTGAGAAGTTTGTGGTGGGAGCAGACGGCGCTCCCTACAGGAGGTCTGCAGCATGACTCACTGCGCTCACAGCTGTCTCCGAATCTGACACCAAACTTTACACTCAAGTCCACAGCTTCTTTAATTTATTCACTCAAGTTTACTTTCTCCTTGCAGTTCTGTGTTAATATTTAGGGACTGTAGGATCTGGAAAAAATAAAAATAAAAGTGTTTAATATAGTTTAGTTTGACGTATATTCAGTGTTGAGAAGGTGACTTTTAAAATGTATTCCCCTACAGATTACAGATTACATACCTCAAAATGTAGTTTGTAACGTAATCCATTAAATTACTTAAAGTGAGTAATGTAATCTGAATACTTTGGATTACTTGATATTGTCGTGCTTTTTAAAACTACATGAAAGTACCAACCACATCCTGAAAATTCTTGTTTGTTCTCTTCAAATTGTCTGTTGAGCCCAAGTCTCCATGATGGTTTTACTCCTAGTTTAGTCCTGGTTTAGTCCTGCTTTTAGACCTGGTTTAGACCTGGTTTAGACCTGGTTTAGACTTGGTTTAGTCCTGGTTTACTCCTGGTTTAGACAGGGTTTATGCCTGGTTTAGACCTGGTTTAGACCTTGTTTAGTCCTGGTTTAGTGCTGGTTCAGTCCTGGTTTTGGTCCTGGATTTAGATCTGGTTTAGTCCTGGTTTAGTCCTGGTTTAGACCTGGTTTTGGTCCTAGTTTAGACTTGGTTTAGTCCTGGTTTTGGTCCTGGTTTAGACCTGGTTTAGTCCTGGTTTAGATCTGATTTAGTCCTGGTTTAGACCTGATTTAGTCCTGGTTTAGACCTGGTTTAGTCCTGGTTTAGTCCTAATTCAGTCCTGGTTTTGGTCCTGGATTTAGATCTGGTTTAGTCCTGGTTTAGACCTGGCTTAGTCCTGGTTTTGGTCCTGGTTTAGACCTTGTTTAGTCCTGGTTTTGGTCCTGGTTTAGACCTGATTTAGACCTGGTTTAGACCTGGTTTAGTCCTGGTTTAGTCCTGATTCAGTCCTGGTTTTGGTCCTGGTTCAGTCCTGGTTTTGGTCCTGGTTTAGTCCTGGTTTAGTTCTGGTTTTGGTCCTGGTTTTAATCCTGGTTTAGCTCAAAATGTGAAAACAGGAAAATCCCTCTGTGTAATCCATTTATTTCAACAAAGTAACTGTAATCCAATTACCACTCACTGAAACAGTAACTGTAACTGAATACAGTTACTCATAATTTGTACTCTGATTACATAACTCCTGTACATGTAATCTGTTACTCCCCAACACTGCGTATACTGTATTTCATGGCATTTGAAAAGAAGGGATTTGATTTACACATGGTTATATTTTATTTTTGTGCCATTACATTTCCTCAAACATGTGGAGATGTTATTACTTTGCTTGAAATGTTCCACAGTATAGCATTAAACCTATCCATCTTATATTTATTCAATTACAGATGTTTACTTGTTCAAAAAATACCTTGAAAATCATGCATTCTTAGTGTAAACTGGATCATCTCTCCGCAGATCTGACCTGTAACTTGGCCTAGTGGTGTCACCTGTTTTTTTCCGTGAAGATAGATTTTGTTAGAGCAATACTGCGGAATATTCTAGTTAAAAAAACATCTCCATGGAGACCAGAAATATGACATAGTGCACATTTTTGGTCCATATAGTGAGTTTAATAATGCAGTAAACTAAAAAGATTCAAAAATATAATAACTTGGCTTCTCAGAGATTCTCCAGCAGCTCGATACAAAACTCTGCATGTAAAATAAATGAAATGAGTGAATAGTGAAAGTATGTTCATGACGTGAATCAGTCTGTGAATGCTTCTTCTGTTTTGTGATGAATAATTGTCTCTTTGTTTTTTCCAGGTACGACCTCCACTGCCCGATAGAGACCGTGGAGAGGGACATCGCAGAACTGTTGGCTTAGACCTTATCTAGACCTGGTTTAGACTTAGTTTAGACCTGGTTCATTCCTGGTTTAAACCTGGTTTAGTCCTGGTTTAGACCTGTCTTAGACCTAGTTTAGCCCTGGTTTAGACCTGGTTTAGACTTAGTTTAGACCGGGTTTAGACCCAGTTTAGAGCTGGTTTAGATTTGGTTTAAACCTGGTTTAGTCCTAGTTTGGACCTGGTTTAGAGCTGGTTTAGACCTGGTTTAGACCTAGTTTAGAGCTGATTTAGATTTGGTTTAGACCTGATTTAGACCTGGTTTACTTCTGGTTCAATCCTGGTTTAGATCTGGTTAAGATCTTGATTACTCCTGGTTTAGACCTGGCTTTGTCCTGGTTTAGATCTGGTTTAGTCCTGGATTAGACCCTGTGTAGACTTGGTTTAAACCTGCTTTTGACCTGGTTTAGACCTGGTTTAGATCTGGTTTAGATCTGGTTTAGTTCTGGCTCAATCCTGGTTTAGACCTGGTTAAGACCTGGTTAAAACCTTGTTTACTCCTGGTTTGAAGCTGGTTTAGACCTGGTTTAGTCCTGGTTTAGTCCTGGTTTAGTCCGGACCCAGTGGCAGAGTGACGATCTCTCGGTAAAAGCTAAATCCTGCAGCTGAGTGGATCTGAAGAAGAGGAGTTGGTCTCAGGGTTCAGTGCATTCACTCTGAGACCGCTCCCCAGCGCCACCTGGAGTCTGAGACGCGCCATCAAAGACCACACATTTAAAATAAAGGGTTAAATAACAGTATTTTGTTGCTTTCTGATTGGCCCAAGTATCAACATACAACATAGTAGATTTTATCAAGATGTATTAGAAATTAGAAATTGTTTTTATTTGTTTGAGAGAAAGTATTTTGTGAGGAGGCTATTGGGCATTTTGTAAGAGCATTAAATAAAAATGCTAGAATATAAATTGGCTGTTGTTTCTGTGTCTAACTGTGTAATTAATGTAAGTATAAAGGGATTTAATAATAATACGCACAACCTTCTCACCATTCATTCACTCCGCTATTGAAGCCACAGCTGCCCTGGAGTCGATGGTTGCCAATCTGCACCTTTACCTCTGATATCCACCAATCACTCCCTCACAAGATTCACATAAGCGAAGTCTGTGATGTATCTTGACATAATAAAATTAAATAGAAGTAAAACAAAATTAAAGAATGCAGCAGTTTTACTTTAGTCCAAAAGTTTTATTTTAGTCCAGTAGTTTCCAAACTTTTTTTTTTTTTTTTTTTTTGCTGTAAGTACCCCCTAAGTACCTCCTAACTCACTAGGCAAATTAATCTGTTATTATGGCTGTAATTTATTAGAATATTGTCTTATATTAATGATTTGGATAACCTTAAACCTCCAAAATGTTCATTAAGATGGATTTTAAGATAGATTTTAGTCTGTGATTCATTTTTCAACTAATCACTACTAAGAATTATCGTGTATTGTATTTTAAGGCTTTTAAAATATACCTTATCCCCAAAATAGAGGTTGAAATATGGTGTCTGGATGCTTTTATTTAATGCTAAATTTAAATATTATTACATTTTCAGCTTCTAGAAAACAAATCTGAAACCTTCCCAAGTACCAAGTGCTTGCATATCGCCGTAAAAATTCTCCATTGTTTAAAATAATTGTTTTTCATTAATTTACTTATTTATTTTTGCCTATTTAATTGCTGAAATATATAAAAACAATTAGCAGCAAATATTATTGTTTTTGTACATGATTTATTCTTTGTTGCCACTAGAGGGCGCACCGTCACAGAGTAGAGTATCAGGTGGCGCATGCGCAGTGGAGTGTCAGTCCGGCCGCTGTAAACATGGCTGGAGTCGGATTCAGAAAATGGGCCCAAGCGATCACAAAAACCAAAGGATCCGGTTTATCCGCGCTTCTGTCGGGATGTAGAGCGGGTCGGTATTTTCTCAACATTTTGGGGATTGTGCTGCTGCAGATTTATATAAATGCACTCACGGGTTTTGGTGTTTAGAGCTTGTAAAAGTTGTAACCTTGACGTGTTAGCATTAGCCTCTGTTAGCTTGTCGGGTTCACATTGGTTCTCGTTCATTGAAATTCATCAGAACTAAGGTTTTTTATTCAGATAAACACTACTCATCCAGCCAAAGATAAAAGCTTTAATGCTCAATTTAATATTACACAAATACAACATTATAAACGAGTAAATCTATCCATTCTGCTTGGTAGTATTTTTTGATAACTAACCTTTACCTAATATTTTCACAATTTTGCTGTAATGACATGAATATATATATCTGCACTACCAATGAAAAAAAGTGTATTTAAGTTTAGGGTCAAGTAAGGAGACAATCCAAATACACATGTTTTACTACATTTACAGTGTAAGTTTGCAATTTGATCGATAGTTATTGGTTATTTTATCAATATTTTACTATTAAACAAAAATATAGATCTTTTTCTTATCTCACGTACCCTGTAAACAAAAGTGATCATGGTTGTGATGACTTACATAGCTGTGCTCACAATTACAACTACTGAAATTATGAGGGAGGGCTTCAACTAGTCACTACTAAGACTAAGAGGTTAAAATATAAATATAATCCTTAAACCCAGGGCCTTATTCTTGAAATTATACCAATGTGTGTTATTTTAAAGGTATTAAGGCTTTTTAAAATACCCTCGCATCAAAATAAATGTTGACATGTGGTGACTTGTGGCTTAAAAAAGAGAATATTTACAAATAATGTGTATTTGTAAATGAAAAATAAACTTTTTTTGTTTGTTTTGACATTTTGATTTCATAAAGCTGTATTTGTTATAAAAAATGTCCTTTCATATATGGTTAAGAGTCTTTATCATCCAGGTAACAATCATGATTACCAAAATACGATGGCCTGAAATTATTTTTAAGTCGGCAAACTTTATTGGTTCACAAAGGAAATTACTTGGACACAGAAGCTCAGACATCATAAAACATATATATAAAATAATACAAATAATGAATAAGAATAGCAAGAGACAGGTGTGAAATAAGTCGTAGTTATATAAATATAATTAATATAATAATATATTATTATATTAATATAATTATATTATATTATATAATATAATTATATAAATTTATATGTATAAGTAAAAATAAAATAGAAATAAATAATAACAATATATCTCAGCTATTTACAAGAGGTCAGCTAGTTCCAATTAGTTTATAAGTTATCGCAGACTTAGAAATTAGGATTCCTTTCTAATAACTTGGTGTTTTGTCTTTCTTATCATTTTTGTTGTAGCCTCTGGACCAGCCAAGGGCTCTCTCCCTGGTCCATACCCCGAGACCCCAGAGCAGAAAGCTGCAGCCGCCAAGAAGTACAACATGAGAGAAGAGGACTACGAGCCGTACCCAGATAAAGGAGAGGGGTAAGACCAATCAACACAGTAATCTGGTTTTAAATTGGTAGGTGTCACGGTCATTTCTATATTGACTTATCGTTCAGTACATGATAGATGGAACAATTTTTGCCGTTAGTAATATTTACCAATGAGACTTTTTGTTTGCACTACTTTGAAGTATTTCATACCATCAGTGTTTTTTAGAAATAGGTCTGACATCTACAGGTTATAATAACTTAAGATGTGTGTTTATTTCCACAGTTACGGTGATTATCCAATGCTGCCAGACAGATCGCAGCACGAGAGAGACCCGTGGTATCAGTGGGACCATCCAGACCTGAGGAGGAACTGGGGAGAGCCGGTAAGAAGGGAATTTGAACAGTTAAATCTTTCAGTAGTTTTCACATTAGGCAAGTTGGAAAAGAGTTTGCCTGGAAATCTATGTTTTCTGTGCAGCTCTAACTTGTCATTTATCCATATTCTATTTTAATAACTGGCATAACACTGGAACACCCAAAGTCTCTAATAATAAATGTTGCAAAATCTGCATTTTTTTTATAGCATGGAGTGTGCAATTAAATTTACTTGAAAGTGAGATTCAGTAGTTTCAAACTGTGATAACCTTTTATTTAATACATACACAGCCAAAATTGCCGATAAAAGCATGTCGTTTGGAGAAAGAAATTTGACAATATTCATGTAAAATAGCACTTATTCATATCGTGCTTGTGTTTTCTTTTATGTAAAACAGATAGATGTTGCTTTCAGTGTTAGATTTGTTTGCCATACCCAGCCCAAGTGGGGAGACTGTCTTATTTCTCTTTCGTTGCTTCCTTCTCCTTGATTCCTCTCCTCGAGTCTGCAGAAAATGGGTGAAGAACTCCCACCTACAGAGGAGACAGAGAGAAAAGAGTGGATATAAACTCCTCATTAAGACCAATAAAGTTTAATTCTTTTCTCTGATGTTTGCTCCTGAAAGCTCCCTCATGTTTCCTCCTTCTGTTGTAATGCAAAAATAAATATTAGGGCCGCTAGAGGGAGCTATGTGACAGTGAGACTGAAAAATGTGCAGCTACTTCTTTTGCCAGGAGTTGAATAAGTATAGCTGTTCAGGATGACATGCGTTAGTTATATTTCTGATTTGTCACCATGTATATTTGTGAAATATTTCAGGTAAAGGTAAACACTCAGCATCCTTGTTTGTGGTTTCTTTTATTGACAAGTAACCACACCTTCCTTCTTTCTGTGGTTTTTCTCTGGGACAACACTTAATATGACACATTTGATTGACAGAAAAAACGGAGAGCAATCAAGGAGAAGGAAGCGAGGAAAGAGAATTGAGACGTGGTCTGTAAATTCCCATTTCCTATTGCGTTGCTGTTGTTTCAGATGCACTGGCACTTCGACATGTACATCCGTAACCGTGTGGACACCTCTCCCTCGCCTGTGTCCTGGTCCTCCATGTGCAAACAGCTCTTCGGCTTCCTCGGGTTCATGCTCTTCATGTTTTACCTTGGGCAGGAGTTTCCAGCTTATCAACCTGTGGTGAGTCGACCTGCTACGAATGTTTGTGTCATTTATATTTTCTTTTTCTTAAAACTGCTGATTGTACTTTGGCATCTTTAATTTTCATCCCACCTTTGCAAATTTTCTCATATATTCACCTCTTTTCCTGTCACTGTTAGAATTTGGAAGCTCTCTACACTCTTAGTAATACTTAGACTTAGACTTTATTGATCCACAAGGGAAATAATTTGAACACAGAAGCTCAAACACATCACTATATAATATAATAACAAAGAGCAAAAATGTAAATGGTAATAATAAATTCAAAATAAGTAGCAAAAATGGCAAGAGACTGATGTCAAATAAGGCATAGTAATATAAATATATACATATACATTTATATAATTGTACATTTAAAATCTAATTATGCAAGTAAATCTAAGTCTAAATGTATTTTTACAAGTAAAAATTAAATAATTTAAATATAGTAATTCAAATATATCTCAGTTAATCTATGTAACTTTTTGGCCAAATAATAGACTTAAAAGCATATTTTTTCATGTTGGTTCTGCTTATTGTGCTGAAAAACATGCATTTTTACTGTAAGCGGGCTTATATGTAAACAAACATGACTGCTATTTGACTTGGGGCAGCAGAGCCTCCTCCTGTTTGTTTCTGTGGAAATGTTGTTTCTTTGGCTATAATGTTCCAAATAAAACTTATCTATGTAATCTCTCAGTAGTCCACGGGCGTATACTAGTCTACATGGTCTTATACTTGTTCTGATACAGCTCAAGATCATTCTAAAGATTCAGGAAAGGTTCATTTTTGTCCTGTGAATGTGACTTTTTTAGTATCTATATCTATATCATGAGTACCATATTTTCAGCACTATTAGGCGCTCTGGATTATAAGACGCACTGTCATTAAATGGTCTATTTTCGAACTTTTTTCACAAATAAACCGCACCGGGCTTTAAATGAAACACAACAGTTGGATGGGTGAGTGGTTTTGTTTGTTTGTTCGTTCACGGTGACTCTGGGCTTTGTTCAGTTGTGGCGTGTAGGGACGGTGCTGTCTGGGACCAACGGATTGTCGGCGTGTTCGCAGTGACTCAGTTGTTCAGTCGTGTCTAGAAGTGGCACATTGCGCTCGCTTTTTTGGTTCGTTCCTCGTCGGCGTGGAGTGATGAGTGTGTCTGCGGGTCTTTTTCGCCGTGCGGTCGCTGTCTTCTCCGTGTGTGTTTGCGTGTTCTGCGGGTGATGCGGCTTTGTAGTTTACTGAAGTCGTGCTGGGACACCCGAGTGGATTTGATTGTGTAGCACGCAGTCGTTTTTTTGATGGGGTTGGAGGCTTATGAACATGCCCTATAGTGCGGAAAATACGATATCTAGAATTATCTGATTTTCTATACTTTTGACAACCCTATTTCCTAATATTTGCATTAACAGACTAAACTAACCTCTTTTTATTTTTCTTGCAGGCCCCGAAACAGTACCCGTACAATAACCTGTACTTGGAGAGAGGAGGAGACCCAGAGAAGGAAGTAGAGGAGGTTAAAAACTTTGAAATCTAAAGGTTTAAATCTGCTCCTGTCTCGTCTGTGTATATATTTCTATTAAAATAAAGACTTATGTGACAATATACATTTTTCTGTGGCATTTTTGAATGTTTTGAAATTTGGATTGCAGATATTTTGAAGATGAAAGAAGAATGAAAAAAAAAAATGTCTTTGAGAGTTTGTAGTCAGTTGAAGTATAATCATTCATAGAGATAAACAGTTGACTGACTTTCCACCAGGTCGAAACCAGATCGAAACCAGGTCTAAACCCGGACTAAACCAGGTCTAATCCAGGTCTAAATCAGGACTAAACGAGCCAGGTCTAAACCCAGTCAGGTCTAAACCAGGTCTAAACCAGATGCATAAACCAGTAGCACAGAAACATGTACATAATGACATGAAAGTGCAGCGTGGCTTGTGGTAACTTGAGTGCAATTATATAACTCACTGTGAACTACCCAGACATTTGACAGGTGCATAAGATCTGGAAAAACTCATGGATTGTATATAGAAAAATCATTACATAACAGCTTTAGAAAGTTTAGTCCCAGTTTTGGGCCTGTGTCCCCTGTCCTAGCAGATTTATCCAAAACCAGTGATTTGTCCCAGTTTTATGACAAAAATTTCCCAGGTGTCCCTATTTTTACCAATCTGATCCCAGACAACAGTAAAGAGAGGCAAACTGTCATTTGTTTAGGTAAAATACAGAAAAGTTAGTTAAAAATGACCAAAACACAAAGAAAATGTGACTATACTGACTCAAGAGTGCATAACAATTTTCCTTAATTATTTATGTACTCGTTTCACCATTTTATGAAACCAGTCTTAAACAGGTTCTAAATCAGGACTAAACAAGGATTAAACCAGGTCTAATCCATGTCTAAACCAACACTAAACCAAGTCTAAACCACATCTAAACCAGGACTGAACCAGGTCAAGACCAGGCCTAAACCAACACTAAATCAAGTCTTAACAGGGTGTAAACCAGGACTAAACCAGGTTTAAACCAGTACTAAACTAGGTCCAAACCAGATCTAAACCAGGACTCAAGTAGGTCCAAACCAGGTCTAATCCAAGTCTAAACCAGGACTAAACCAGGTCCAAACCAGATTTAAACCAGGAGTAAACCAAGTCTAAACTAGGTCTAAACCAGGATTAAACTAGGTCCAAACCACATCTAAACCAGGTCTAAACTAGGAATAAACCAGGTCTAAACTAGGAATAAACCAGGTCTAAACTAGGATTACACCAGGACTAAACAAAGTCTAAACTAGGTCTAAACCAGGACTAAACCAGGTCTAAACCAGGACTAAACTAGGTCCAAACCACATCTAAACCAGGTCTAAACCAGGTCTAAACTAGGACTACACCAGGACTAAACCAAGTCTAAACCAGGACTAAACTAGGTCTAAACCAAGATTAAACCAGGTCCAAATCACATCTAAACCAGGTCTAAACCAGGACTAAACCAGGTCTAAACCAGGTCCAAACCACATCCAAACCAGGTCTAAACCAGGTCTAAACCAGGACTAAAAAAGGACTAAACCAGGTCTAAACCAGGTCCAAACCACATCCAAACCAGGTCTAAACCAAGACTAAAAAAGCACTAAACCAGGTCCAAACCACATCCAAACCAGGTCTAAACCAGGACTAAACCAGATGCATAAACCATATGACCAACCACCCCACACCGGGAGTGTCCCAGTTTTTATTTTTAATTTCTCGTTTCCTTATTTAAATACACATATCCGGTCTGTTTACAAAACTTGAGGAATAATTACTCGCACACACTTTTCAACCCAAGCTTTAGAAACTTTATCCCTTGGCGTCTCTTTCTTTTAATACACATCTTTGCTTTTCTATTTACAAAAACTTGCGCAGTCAAAGTTGAATTGAGGCCACGGTGGCGCTGTGTGAGATTTGTCCGCGCCGGCCTCCGTAGCCCACTGACAACACGACAGCACTTTGGTCCGGATTCCGCTTGTGGCTAAAGCTAAAGCTAATCTATCACGAAAATCCGCGATATTTTTTGGATGTGACACGTGTAATCGCGATCAACACTTGCCGTAAGTTCGATTTAACACGTTTTTGCACCCGAACTCATTTGTGATCGCGTGTTAATTGGAAGATTTGGAGAAAAGTCGAGCCTGGGTGGTGACTGGTGCCGAATGCTAACAGCTAACTGCGGCTTAGTTGGCACTTTTTCTTTATAAAAATAATCTTTACTACAATAATATTATAAGTGCATGTACTATTAAAAGCTGAGTAATGATAGCGCTAATTAAATGACGTTGTGATCGCTTTTATGGCGTTGTTAAGCTTTAAAAATACAAGTTTAAATGACCAAACCTGATGCAAACCATGTCTGCTAAATGCTCGTATTTTCAATGAAACATCTGAGCACTAAATCACAAAGTTGAACCAAATTAAGCGGATATTAGTAACGTAAATAGTCTTAGATGCTCTTGATAAGCTGCTGGTTGAAAGTGAATGTTATTAAAGTGGCTTAAATCTGATCTGGCACCGCCCATTTTTCACTGTGGTCAATTTATCTGCACGTTATTACAGCTTTGATTTAACACGTGGACACTTCTGGTTGTACTTTGGCTTCTTAATTCTTATCCCACCTTTTGTAAAAAACGGATTTTCTCTTATATTCATCTGTTTTCCTATCATTTGGAAGCTCCCCACACTCTTAGTATGACTTAGACTTGGACTTAGAGAAACTTTATTAATCCAAAATGGAAATTATTTGGACTCAGGAGCTCAAACATCACAATAAATATAATAACAAAGAGTAAAAAATGTATATAAATGTTAACAATAACTGAAATATTGTATTACATTACATTATTGTATTGTCAAAAGTCTCACAGTAATACCGTTGGGTGTCACAGTATATCGAATTACAAAATCCTTTGCTTAAATGTGTTGTTTTATAGTAATAATAGCTTATAAACATAGGGAACTACATATCCCATGATTCATTTCAGCGCAGACAACATGACAAAATATGTTTTTTACTTGACTTCTTGGCATTATGACGGAAATAATTCACACCAAAATCTTGTCAAGGTATTTTAAAAGCAAAAAAGTGTCCCATCTACAATTATATCAGCCTCTTCAAAATATCACAATAAATATCGTACCGTGAGATTTGGATATCGTTACATCCCTAGTATCGTGGTCTGTGTATTGCAATTTCTTAATGATACCCAGCCCTTAAATGTGCTGTCAACTGATAATCATACATGTATTTGGTTAAAAAAAAAAACACTAAACCCACTTCTGAAACATTGAACAGTAAAGGAGAAACTTCTAGTTGGGTAAAAATAATTATTGGGGGCAAAAAGAGAATTTGGTTAAACATAAATTAGTATCAGTATTAACTCATCTTTGCCTTAACTTCATTATTAAATATTGTCTAATCCAATAACAGCTTATAAACATCGGGAACTACATATCCCATGATTCATTTCAGCGCAGACAACATGAAGAAATATGTTTTTTACTTGAATTCTTGGGATTATGACAGAAATAATTCACACCAAAATCTTGTCAAGGTATTGTAAAAGCAGAAAAGTGTCCTATCTCCAAAATATCGCAATAAATATCCTACCGTGAGATGCATGTCGTTATAATATCATACCGAGAGATTTGGATATCGTTACATCTCTAGTAATAACAACACATTCAAAATAAGTAGCAAAAAAATATCAAGAGACAGGTGTCAAATAAGACATAATTATATAAATGTAAATGTACAAGTCAAAATAAAATAGACAAATAAGTAATAAAATATAAAATCTCAGCTTTATACAAGAGGTCATAGGAATACAGTGTAACAATGATATGATGATTGACAGTACATAGGGTTATCTGTTACATAAGGCTGAGTTGTTGCACAGTTGTAGGGAGTATTATCCTTTACATAAAGGTGAGTTGTTGTACATTTGTAGGGAGTATTATCTGTTACATAAGGGCGAGTTGCTGCACAGTTGTAGGGAGTATTATCTGTTATATAAGGGTGAGTTATTGTATATTTACACAGTATTATTTAGTGTTGCCATCGTGAACAAAATCAAATTGTAGATTTTATATATATATATATATATTAGGGGTGTCAAATTATCGCGTTAATTGCGATTAATTAATTACGTTATGTTTTTTAATCGCGTTAATCTCATTTTTATTCTCTAACTTTACTGTTTCTGTATGTGAGTTGCTTTATTATAAAACCTGTTTTTATGTGTTGTTGGGACAACAACACACACACACACAAAAAACACATTTATATTTTTTTTAATTTCGGTAATTCCACTCATTGCCGGAAACCCACATAAAACGCGCGCAGTAAGAGCGATGTAAACATCATGTTAACGTTGGCGGCGTCAGTCGCACAATGGACGAAGTCGAAGAGCCAGTAGAACAGAGCAGCAGTGCACAGGTAAAAACACATTCGTGTCTTGGAAATTATTCTCCCGAAGTGAAATATAAAAGAAAATAACAAATATACAATCGCCTACAACTTAAATGTCACTGGTGAAAACAACCTGCATAGACTCATGATGTCTGCACTACTGTCCTATAGTGACCTGCCACATGAGGGGACACGGACACAAACACACAAACACACACACACAAACAAACACAAACACACACAAACACACACCTTCATCATCGTCATTAACCTGAGAACGCGCGGACCACGTTTCCTTCCGTAGTTACTGCGCGGACACCGACGTGCTCCCGTGAGCCGCGTGTGGATCGTGTTTTCTCGCGTACGCGGCGTAAACCGCGCTTCCTCCTGTGAGCCTCTAAACCAGAACTAACACCAAGACTAAAACCAGGACTAAACCAGGACTAAACCAGAACTAAAACCAGAACTAAAACCAGGTCTATACCAGGTCTAAACCAGGACTAAACCAGGACTAAAACCAGTGATCTCATATATAAAGCATTTCTCTATCAATAATATTTTTAATATGGTTAAGGAAAGACTGGACTTTTTATTGTCTTTAAGTAGACAAAGGTTATTATGTTCAGATTTCCTCGTCTTTGCTGCTTTACAGCAAACAGTTTCTTATTCATGGAGACTTGGGCTCAACAGCCAAATTGGAGAGATTTGTTAAACAATAAATGACTTTATAAAGTCACTTTTTTTTTAATCTATATCAGTCTTTTGATCTGCCACAATAATGTAATAATGAATTTAAATGAAAATACCTCAAATTGAAGGCTTTTCTCAGCAATTTTTAGGTGAGATTAAAATGAGATTAATTAGATTAATTAATTACAGATCATAATTAATTAATCTCTAAATTTTTTTAATCGCATGACAGCACTAATATATATATATATATATATATATATATATATATATATATATTTTTTTTTAGTCCAGGTAAAATTGGAGTTTGTGTTGTGCATTTGATTCAGTTCTAATGATCAGTATCAGTTTGGGTCTTTTTAATTGAGATGTCTACAGCCAAACTAAACCAAACTAAACCATACAGATGTACAACAGCTCACGGTTATGTAACAGATAAGCCTGTGTTTCTGTCAATCATCATATCATCTTTGCAACGTCTTCCTCTTGTATATAACTGTGATATACTCTATTTGTATTACAATATTAGTTTTTTTTCTTACTGTACGTACATTTATATTATTTATGTCTTATTTGACACCAGGCTCTTGCTATTTTATTGCTACTTAGCTGTGTATTTAGAAGATAATTACTGTTGTTATATATATTTTTTTAACTCTTTGTTGTTATAATATATTGTGATGTGTGAGCTACTGTGACCAAGTCATTTTCCTTGTGGATCAGTAAAGTCTAAGTCTAAAAGCATGTGGTTTAAACCAGAGTTCAGACATCAGAATCAGACATCAAAAATTTTGTATTCTAAATCTCTGTATTGTTTGGAAAATTATATTATATTATATTTATTAGCCTAATTACAGTTTATTTGGAAACTCGGCATGATGCCTCTAATTCGTGGTTACAGGTTTTAGTGTAGTAGGAATGACACAATTTCTAAAAGACGTTACGAGACACGACATTGGATCCCCGAGAACAAAGGCAACATGAGATTTTAACATAATTCTCAATATACATACACCTACATTTCACAATTAAGTTTCCAGTTTTGGCCTCACAAGTTTTTATTTCTTTGATTTCTATATTGTTGTTTCCACTCTTGTACTTTTTAGAACTGTAAGAGATGTAACTCACCAGTACTGTGTCCAATCCAAATGTTACACAAAACAAAAACGTTGCATTGATTTTTTTGCTCACACACGTGCGCTCGGTTTGTTTTCTGCAGGATTTGTAAACGTTTATCTGAAGAGAGGAAGATGAGGCTGAAGGAGATCCAGAGGACGGCTCACCAGGCCTGGAGTCCGGCCGGGCACCACCCCATCCACCTGGCACTGGGTACAGACACTTTAACACTTTAAAACTGGAGATGGCAATTTAATCTATTGTAAAACATGTATTTACTACTACTACTACTAACTAGAAACATGCGAAAACTACTGAATGTTACTTTGAATAGATTTATTATGTTCTGCTGTCAACAAGCGACTGACAAGTGCAAATTGTAAACTGAAACTGAACAAGCTATTATTATGAGCTAAGATAGATCTAAAATAATGTATACAGTTAGGCCACAGCTTTCAGAGACCAAAGCAGTATGCAGACAGACTTAAGAGTAGAGCATAGTGCACTAGGGTTGTACAAAAATATCTAAATATCAATATATTGTATCATTTAATGTGATGATACAGTATCGATATCGTGGGCTCCTGTATCGATATATCACTAAGAGTATTTTTTTGTATTTTACTCAATTATTTTGTTACAGAGCTACAGTTTTATTTTATGTTCAGAGGAAGGAAACTCATTTATGCAACACATTTGACATATTCACTGTTTTGGTGATAAAAATTAGTGTGTTTCAAATTAACTTTGCACAAGAAGTGGTTTAACAAAGACTTTTAGTGTCACAGCCATGATTTAGACAGAATTTTTTATTGAACCGCATTGAATTGACTTGAAATATATCGTATCGAACCGAAAGCTCTCTGGATCGAGGTATGTATTGTATCAGCAACTTCTTAATGATACCCAGACCTACAGTGCACTTTCAGTTTGATACGATATATTTCAAAGCGATTTGATATGGCTCAATAAAAAATAAAGCCTAAATCATGGCTTTGATATTAAAAGTCTTTGTTAAACCACTTCTTGTGCAAAGTTCATATGAAACACAAACATTTTAATTATCGAAACAGTGAAAATGTCAAATGTGTCGCATAAGCAAGTTTCCTTCCTCTGAACAAACAACAAAACTGTAGCTGTAACAAAATAATTTAGTAAAATATACCAAAAAGCACTCTTGCCGATATATCGATACAACAGCTCACAATATCGATACTGTATCATCACATTAAACGATACGATATATCGATATTTTGATGTTTTTGCACACCCTTGCTCAAGAGCTGCTTATAATAAAATATCACTTTACTTGGGTAAGACCAGTTTTAATGAGAGACTTTGATTGATGTGTTGATTAGGAGTGTGCAAAAATATCGAAATATCGTTATAGTGTATCGTCTAATGTGATGATACAGTATCGATATCGTAGGCTACTGTATCGACATCGCCAAGAGTATTTTTTGGTGTATTTTACTCGATTATTTTGTTACAGCTACAATTTTGTTGCTTGTTTAGAGGAAGGAAACTCATTTATGCGACACGTTTGACATTTTCACTTTGCACAAGAAGTGGTTTAACAAAGATTTTAAGTATCGCAGCCATGATTTAGCCTTTGATTTTGAACCGTATCGAATCGAAAGTGCACTGTATCGAGGTATGTATCGCTATTTTATCTTGAAATGCGTTAAAAATCCAGCTTTAAAATGTAATATTGTGTCTGGTGACCTCTTTGTTCAGGTTAAAGGATTACATATATGTATTTATGTCATGTGTTAGAGTTTAAATGACAGTCTCTCTCTTTGCATTCCTCACATTTCACACCGGAGGAGACCTCAGCCGACGGGACGGGGCTCCTGCTTTGATTACATCCAGATCAGATCACTTTCTCTCACATTCCAGCTGTCAGGGTTTTTATTGACTTTAGGCTGACGGTGTGAAAACAGACAAAACAAACAAAATTCATGACTTTTATTTGGTCTAAAAATGTGACCCAGTTGTATTTTAATGAATCATGTGACCTACTTATAAGAAATCTGGAATAATGTAATGTTCTAACTTGATTTCGATACTAAAGAACAGACTTGATACTCAATACTGATTCTGATACCACAATGATAATAAAAAAACACTTGTTATTTAGACAATAGAATGTGATTTTCAACATTAAATCGTAGTATTTTCTTTTCTATTCCCATGTGATCTTTTATTTGTGTTGATACAGCTCAAGATCATTCTAAAACTATTCAGGAAAGGTTCATTTCTGTCCTGTGAATGTGACTTTTTTAGTATCGATACCTGCGAAAAATGAGGATCTAGTTTCGATACCAATTCTAGTATCTAATTTTGATACTTTTGACCTTATTATACGCTCTAAAAATATCAGGATGCTAGTATTGTGTAGTATTTTGCTATAACAAAACAAAAGTAGTAGTAGAAATTGTACTGTTTGTGTCAGTATTGGAAGTAGCAGAAAGGAAATGATTTATACAAGCAAGTTCCTCTTTTCCCCAACAAATATATTTGCATAGTTGCACTTTCACTTTACTTTCACTTTGTTAGCTCACTTGTGGACTTAATGACAATTTTTGAGGGAAAGAAACTGAAAAAGAGCTGATTAAAATAAGAAATGGCCACTGTAATCTTCTAGACTGATTTGTCTTGTTAGTAATTTCATAGTCCATTAAGTTTTTGTGCAATACTTCAACCTCAAAGTCATTTAAAGGCAGATTTTTGCACAGTTCTCATAGATTGATAAAATACTTTAAATGTTTATTATTACTGCCATCAGGGGGAAAAAAAATCTGGATATTTTTGTCAATTTGACTTACTTATTACAACTATTCATGTAGTTTTATTTGTGAGGTAGTTTAAAATCTTTCTAACATTAGTCTGTTTGTCATCTTCTTCTTCTTTGTCGCAGGCACATCTGCCCAACAGCTGGATGCTTCTTTCAACACCACGGCCGCTCTGGAGATCTTTGAGTTGGATTTTTCGGACCCTTCTCTCGACATGGAGCTCAAAGGGTCACTGCCCACAACCAACAGGTGAAAGACAATTCAATTAAATGTTTATAATGCTGTGTTTTTTTTCATTCACCCATTTTTAACACACAAACCCTGCATGTTTAGAATGAGTTCTTTTCTCAATCGGAAAACACATCCGCCACACACCTTCACTAGAGTCATTTGGATAATTTCAGGCCTACAATTGACAATCTCTACTGAACTAAAGGTAAATGTAAATCACAAGGTGGAACAGAGCATTTTGAGCTTCGGAAATGTAAACAAACTAATAATAAAGGATTACTCAAACGTGTGTGAATGAAACTAAAACTAGGTATGTTTTTTTTGATGAGGTTCTAAAATGGCTCAAAGTTCACAGGGGGCAATGTCACGTGATATAGAACCTTTAAACCTCAACCAATGCAGATTTTTACAGTCTTAAAAATTGCTAAAATATTTTCAGTGTTTGTTATTATTGCCTTCAGAGGTTAAAAATAAGTAAATAAATACACAAATGTGGATTTTTTTTTTTTTGTCATACTGTGGCAGCCAGTGTTTCCCGTAGATTTTGTATTACAATAACTGAATCTTACACCATTTGTAAAGTATAAATGTCACTTATTCTTCTTTTTGACCTGTATAGTCTCTTTTTATAAGTTTATGATAATACAGCGAACAACAAAGGCTAGTTTTGTTGTTCCAATATATAGTCTAGGTCAGGGGTTTTCAAATTGGGTGAATGTGAGCCTCCCCTTAGGTAAAGACAGTCTTTACCTTAGAGTAAATAAAGACAGCCGAGCCCCCTCCCCTTTCGCCCAAACTCCCATCCGCCTGCCCTCCCCCACACAGTTCTTTGAAGTAAATGCCTCTATTGTGTTTCTGCAATGATTAGTTTCAATAACAACTGACATTATATATTTTTTTAATAATGGGTTTTCATATTTTTTAAAAGTGCATTTATAAACGATTTTTGGAACAGCAAATAATTTCCAACTTCTTGCAGGCCTAATTGAGGCGACTTTTAACATCACTGAACATGAGACCAGGAATAAACCAGGTCTAAACCAGGTCTAAACCAGGTCTAAACCAGGTCTAAACCAGGACTAAACCAGGACTAAACCAGGACTAAACCAGGACTAAACCAGGACTAAACCAGGCCTAATCTCTGCGCCAGTCCTTTCGCCTGCGATCACCTGACGGTCTACGTGAGTGCACCTTTGGGCCCCTTAGTTCTGGTTTAGTGCTGATTTAATTCTGTTTCAGTCCTGGGATCAGTCCTTGGGGGTAATAATACATTCTAAATAAGAGACAGGTAAAATAAAAGTGATAAAGTAATAAAAATATCTCAGCTGTATACAACACCAAATAAATTATCACCTATGTTTGACGATGCATAAGATATTGCTGGATCTGTTTAAATTTACGTTTTCAGTCTCATTAATTTAAACTATAAAATACGATGTGATTTCCAAGGCGTAAAAAGAACATAGCAGTTTTTGTTGTTGGTTGGCTGTGTCTGTTAACACTGTCCAGAGTGTTATGCTTCACCCACATTTCTCTGCCAAACTGGTTTAGAGCTGCAGCCTACTCTTTAGTCAAAATATTTTTAGTTGTATCAGTTGAATTTACTCAAGACTTAAATGGGCTGTAACATTTCTTATCTACCTGCTATGGAGATGTTATTGCTTTGTCCACAATGTTCCACAATTTGGCATTAAATTGATCCTTCAGTGATTCAATTACAAGATTTTTTATTGGGGAAAAATTTGGAAAAACATGCATTCTTAGTGTGTGTGGTGAGGTCTGCTTATCTTCATGGAGACTTATTTTCAGATTTAATTTCAGATGATGATGGCTAGACTATCCATTTTGATGTATTTATTTATTCATTTGGTTATTTCATTCATAAAATATAAAAAAAACACATTAAACATACAAGAAATGAATCAAAAGGAACAGAATAAAGAGTCGTCGTCTTATATTATCTGCCCCTTTTCCTTTTTCCAGACAAAACATTAACACTAATGGTTACTTTCAAATATTTCAAATCGATAAAATTTAATTTCAGTCACAAACCATTCTCGTGAAATTCTAATGATTCTAAAGAAAATGCCACAACAGTGATTATAAAAACTTGGAATCATAATGTAGTTTTGTACTAAGTCTGATATAAAACCGTGTAATCCCTTTTAAATCTGATATAGATTAACACGTTTATTTAAGGCAAGTTTATTTGTTCACCTCCATTTGTACACAAAGTAATTCAAAGTGCTTTCCAGAATTAGAAATATATTACAATACAATTGCAAGTCAAGTCCTAAATTACACAAAATGAACTCTTATGAGCTTTAAATGTTTTTTCCTGCTCAAAAACAGACCTGGAGTTGTGTTTTGTTTCATTCACATGTTTGAGTAACTCTTTATTATCAGTCTGTCTACATCTCCAAAGCTCAAAATGCTCTGTTCCACCTTGTGATGTCACGCAGTAGTAGAGATTGGCAATTTTCGGTCTGCAAATTATTATGCAAATGATTCTAGTGAAGGTGTGTGGAGTTTAAAAACACCAAGAAATCCTGTCATGGAAATCGAAAATGTCATTCTCCAGGCCTGGAAAAGTCATGGAATTTTAGTATCTCATTCACACAACTACAGCGTTCTGTTAAGTTCTCATTAGACTATTATGATTATTTCTGAACGTCTGCGCCTTTTGTTTAAGAGAGACGACAATAAATGCACTGACAGTATTTTGAATGTTAAAAAACTATAATCCCAAACCATAAGGTGAGTGGAAAGAGTTAACATTTCATATTTAGCTCTAAAAGTCTGATCACTTCTACACATGTAGGTGCTGTAAAGTCATGGAAAATTCACTTTAGGACATGAAAAAGACACGGAAATGTTTTGAAATTTTGTCAGTGAAAAGGAGTGGGAACCCTGTGAAGCACTCCATTTGAGAGAAGAACTCTAAATATGCAGGGTTTGTGTGTTAATCATGTGTGAATGGAACAAAACACAACTCCAGGTCTGTTTGTGATGAGGAAACAACATTTTGAATACAAATACAAATAATAAAACCACATTAAAACAGTCCCTTGTTGAAACCCCGTGGTGTGTCTGTGTCTCTGCAGGTTGCACAGTCTGGTGTGGGTGAACTTTGGGCTCGGTGCAGATGGTACAGGGGGCAGGCTGGTGACCGGCTCTGAGAACGGGACTGTGTCTGTTTATAAACCCGAGTCCATCATCTCCTCGACTCCGGACGCCGAGGTGGGAACGTCCAACAAACACACAGGACCCGTCCGAGCCCTCGACTTCAACCCTTTTCAGGTAAAATATTCTTTAAAAGTAAATGAAGCTGTTCCCCTCAGAAGTGGGAATGGGCAAAGTATTTCTGTTTAAAGAAATACCCATAAGGGAAAACAAACAAAAACTAATTATTACATACTTCATTTGGTTTTGTTGACAGAATAATCTTCTTGCATCTGGAGCGAACGATTCAGAAATCTACATTTGGGATTTGAACAACTTCAGCAGCCCCATGACCCCCGGAGCAAAGACACAGGTGAGTTATGTTGTTTAATTATTTGTCTTTTTCTTATATGATTTAATTTTAAAAAGGCAGAGGCGTTTTGGGCTAGGAGTAAGACTAGATCAGGTATTGGAATATAGTAGACGGTTCGCAAAAACCCCGAAGTGCCAATAAGCAAAGAGACAGACATTCAGTGTTGTCAACGATTCCTGAGATCGAGGTTTTAAAGCCGGAACAAAGAGAATGTTTGGTGAATTTTATTAAGGGGAAAGATGTTATTGTTCTTCTTCCTACGGGATTTGGGAAAAGCTTAATATACCAGTTAGCCCCGTTAGCAGCGCATTACATACCAAATAGCAGCGATTGGTTAAATGAAAAAAGTACCCACCTACCTTCGAGCGAATGCTGAGAGGTCAGACGGTTTCTACGAAGTGAAACCGGCTGATGAATCAGGTTAAGAATTCAGTGCCAAAAGTTCAAAATCAGCACCTTTTTTTGAAGCTTGTTGAAGTTATTTTAATTGCTTGTGTAAAGTTGCAAACTGACTCAATGACGGGGAAACTTCTGATCAACATATCACACAGTATAGAGAGTAGATTCACACTGAACTGACTCAAAAGTTTCACATGCACAGGAGTAGGCTTCGTAGATTGAAAAGTAATGTATGTATTGTATGTATTGATATTGTTTTGTGTGTCTCAGCCGGCGGAGGACGTGAGCGTCGTCTCCTGGAACAGACAGGTGCAGCACATCCTGGCCTCTGCCAGTCCGAGCGGGAAGGCCGTGGTCTGGGACCTGAGGAAGAACGAACCCATCATCAAAATCAGTGACCATAGCAACAGGGTGAGAGTCTGTAACCATAGCAACAGGGTACCAGAGTATCTAGTACTTATTTTTTTACCACACAGGATTTTAGTTATGCATACACTTTGTAGGTCAAGGTTTTGATTGTTTTGGTTGAGATCATTTATTTATTCAAATGCACAAAATTCCATCTTCTGAGGCTTAAATGTTTGGGTCTGAAAAGTCTCTCTAATTTTATGACAATTTTACAGAAACACTTGAACTATTCTAATGAATATTTGTCTATGTATTGATTTATTGTAGTGACCTGTGGCAATAGCCGCATCACAGTAGCAGTACAGAATGAGTAATGAATGGATACTTGCCCCAATAGGCCCTGTTAAAGACTGAAGCCTTAAAATAACTTTGTCTTGTGTGTTTGTCCAGATGCACTGCTCAGGGATGCTGTGGCACCCGGATGTTGCCACTCAGCTGGTGTTGGCCTCAGAGGACGACAGACTCCCCGTGATTCAGATGTGGGACCTGAGATTCGCCACTTCCCCTTTAAAAGTGCTGGAGAACCACACCAGGTACAACTTCAGGCATAACACACAAAACTATACAGTCTATCGTATTACTTTGTTTGAGTTGACTAGCTTTTCCTTAATGGTAATGTATTTTCTCTTTCAGGGGTATTCTGTCCATTTCTTGGAGCCAGGCCGATCCAGAGCTCCTCCTCAGCAGCGCGAAAGACAATCGAATCCTCTGCTGGAACCCAAACACCGGAGAGGTAAGAAACTCAATATAACCGCCACAATATAAACAAAACAAAAAAACTAAATCTAACTTCTTATTGTCTTGTATTTCTGTTGTAGGTGATCTATGAGCTTCCCACCACAAACCAGTGGTGCTTTGACGTCCAGTGGTGTCCCAGGAACCCGTCTCTTTTGTCCACGGCCTCGTTCGATGGAAGAATCACAGTTTATTCGGTGATGGGAGGAAGTCTGACCCCACAGCAGCACAGCACCGTGGACAAGGTAATGCACAACATAACTGTATTTGTTATGGACTAATTAAAAATGTAATAAAAAGTATTCATGGAGTCTAAAACTATTATTTCAAGTAGATATTTCGTCAACCAAATGTTCAGACTGAGATGTTTTTTCAGGAATAAAAATGCATGTAATTGAATAGAGGCTAAATTGATGATTAAAATGCCATACTGTGTAACACTACTGGCAAAGAAATAACTCCATGGAGAGGAGCATGAGCGTGAAATGTGGACAAGTGCACCTTTAAAAATATGTATACACAATAAAAATAACATCTCCATGGAGCCCAGCACATGGCAGCGTTCCCACCTGAAAACTGACACAGTGCACCTTTTTAAATCCTGTTCATTTCTGTCCTCTTCTGTAGATCTCCTCCTCCTTTGACTCCATGGATCCCTTCGGCACAGGTCAGACGCTGCCCCCCCTTCAGGTCCCTCAGGCCCAGACTCAGATCACTATCGTCCCTCCGCTCAAGAAACCTCCAAAGTGGATACGCCGACCTGTGGGGGCCTCGTTTGGGGTGAGATCACGACGAAATATTGTTTGTGGCTACTGCTCCTGCTCACATAAGAACGTAAAAGCTCCAATAATCACACAGAATGGACTCGTGATTTCAAAAAGTGAACACAGAATTTTACCAACATACAAAATTGGGTAAATTTACACGGCCAGTAAAAATCAGAAAACTAAAATGATCAGATAACTCAAGATAATAAAATCTGGAGAGAATTCTGATCACCAAAAACACCTGAGTTAGTGAATAAATTGATTTATAGAGTAGCTGTTGGAAGACAAAGGACAATGAATTCAAAACTTTAACATTTAAAAATGTGAAAATATTTAGTTTTTGGCTGTCAACAAATGGACAGGAAGAAGACATAACTGTTCACTTGAAATTTAATTGTCTGATAATTAGGGAAGATCTTGTGCCACGAGATTGTTCACACACGCTGAAAATGATCTTGTGAGACTTTTTTCCCCATGTTTTTCCGTTTGGATTAGATTTAAAAAACTGAGTTAAATAGTGATGAGTTACTGTTTTGAGAAGCTGTAGTCCCAACAAGCGCTGCTACAGTGACAGCAGAAATATTAAATAAAAAACTGGGAAAAGGAGTGCACAATATTTATAATAAACAATGTCAAAATCTCATCTTGTCTCGTTTTCGTAGATCCAGTCTTGTGTCTCGTCCCTTACTGATAGGATAGTGATTGACTCAATTATGTCAACTGGACAAAAGTTTTTTGATTGAAAAAGACAAAATAAAAAACATACAAACCTTTATCTAGTTGAAAGAATTGAATTTCTCCTTTGCTAATTGTCTAATAACACCAGAAATCAGATTATGGTCAGAGTCTTGGTTTGCCTGTAAACACTGTCATTGTTTTGTTTTGATGATTTTGTATTTTAGACTTGGACTTAGACAAACTTTATTGATCCACAAGGGAAATTACTTGGACACAATAGCTCACATATCACATTATATTACAATAACAAAGAGTAAGAAACATAAAAATTGTAATAAACTTCTAAATAAGTAGCAATAAAAAAAAAAAGCACTTCTATTACCCTCAACCCGTCTGACCCTTTCCCTGTTCTGTTTTCTTTCTCAGTTTGGTGGGAAGTTGGTGACGTTCGAGTGCCCGAAGCTGCCCCCGGGTCAGAGCCCTCAGTCTGTGCCCCGGCAGGTGCACCTCAGTCAGGTCACAACGGAGACGGAGTTCCTGCAGAGATCCAGGGAGCTCCAGACGGCTCTCCAGACCGGATCCTTTAACAGCTACTGCCAGAGCAAGATCCAAGAGGCCCAGACCGACGCCGAGCAGGACATCTGGAAGTTTCTACTGGTGAGAGGAGAATTATTAATCTTACATTTCAACATATCTAACGCTTAAAGGTGCATGGTGGAACTTTTTGGTTATAGAGTGTGACATTAAACAGCTCTACTTTACATTTATTTAATTACAGGTGGTTTTAGAGCTCAAAAATACCTAGAAAAACACACGATAATTGGAAATCCTCGCTTTCAAAAAAATATCAGCATTACTTCAATATTTAACATTGTGCTATTGGGAATGAGGCGAAAATGTTAAAAATACACACGTTACCGGGGATTCAAACAACAATACAATTTGAATACATGAATAAATGTTTGAACTATGTCCTTTTTGAAAGTAGAAAAAAATTAGGTTCTCCAAGAAAGGTAACACATTTTTTTAATAAAGTGGCAACCATTTATTGACTTTTTTGAAACAGTCTAAGCCACCCCTACTATTTCATTTGATTATTATATATTTTATTTACATTTTTTTGCATTAATAATAGTAGTAGTATATTTATTATCATTCTCTTATTATTGTAAGGCGCTACTCGTATTTCTTGAGTGATTTGTTTTTGTTACTTGGTTTTGTAAGTTATGTTTTATCTGCATAAAATTTAAAAAGGTGTGTGTACATTTGTTGTTTGAATGACATATCTATATCTGTTTACACATGAGTAAAAACATATGAAACCGTAAATGTAAAATTAACTCTTGTTTTCTTGAATATCAGGTAAATTTTGAAGACGAAGCTCGCATCAAGTTCCTCAGGCTTTTGGGATTCAGCAAAGATGATCTAGACTTAAAGGTACAGTCACTTTAATATGAAAACATAACACAGTTTTAGAATAAAGTCTTTATATAAATGGATATATTTAACCTGCCTGCAGCCGAGTACCAAATAGGAAGTGAGCATGGACTCCAATTCACTTTCTGCTGAAAAAACTTCACCCCTAAATCAAGATATCAATATTAATACCAGGCAAATCAGGCCCTTTTTTCCCCCCTTCTTTCCTTCTTTAACTCTTTCCCCCATGAAGACCACATTTGACGACCCCCTTTGTTTCCTTAATGACGTGTTTTGACACCTCCGCTGTATCACTAAAGACGTGATTTGACGACCATTAGAAACGGTTCGGTTTTTCACATGTAAACAGAGGCTGCGATAGTTGGGGTCCACTACAACCCACACTAGGCTGACCAATAGGTTTCAAGGATACGTTTTCACAAATTTTTTCCAAAGTTAATCGAAGTAGTGACAATTGTAGCTTCTGGAAAGAATGCAACATGAAACACGTGCAATGGAAAGATCGCGCCGCACAGTTTTAGAAATAATAAAGAGCAGATGTGGATATGGATAAGTTTAGAGAAAGTGACTTTTATAGATTTCAAAGTGATGATGAAGTTGATTATAAAGTGGAAAACAGCGATAGCGACGGAATTTCAGAGAGTGAAACTTATGAAGGTGAGAATGCCGCTGATGCATCTGTATGGAGTCCTGCAATATCCGAACAAACTATCGGAGACTTTATACTCGATTATGAACCAAAATTGCAGAAAAATCTGGATGTTGCACCAGGCGAGTCCTTTGAAATATTTCAATCTTTTTTTCCAAGATGTGATGTATGACAGAATTGCTACAGAAACAAACGCTTATGTGGAGCTCTGCACACGAGAAAGTAACAAAGATGACAAATACTGGACACCCACTGACGGGGAAGAGTTTTATTATTATATTATAATAAGTTAAATGAGTTGAATAAGTTAAATGAGTTGAATAAGTTACATGGAAAAAACGAATTAGGTCCACACAGGTGTACAACAGGTAAAAACAGTTGGCTATATTGTATCTGGTGATATGAAATCTGTTTAAATACTTTGACAAATATATTTTTTTAAATTTTTTTATGAATATAGTGCTCAGAACATACATATATCAGATGCTGAAAATAGTTTTTTGTTTTCGATTTTGCACCTGACCAAGTAAACTCTCATTTTCAGTGAGCTGTTATAAACCTATAAATGAGTTGAATCACATTTAAACATCCATAAATGAAGAGTTCAGAGTCTAAGGTTTCCAAATTTCCAAATATGTCTGTGTTTCAATTAAGTTCATGAGTGTGAAAATCATTTATAATCACTCGTGGAAGTCCGTTTTCTTTTATGCAATTGCTCTATGGGTAACTCTAGTCATATATGTATGGGTTGTTCCTAGTGGGCATCCAAGGGGGAAAGAGTTAACTCCAAATTGGGTCCAAATTTGCTGCTCTAACTACTTGCCTCAATGAGCTTCATTTGGCTGGAGATGAACACTGAGTCCCTGTGTTTTGACTAATGTCGGTTCATCCACTTTTCAGATTTCCAAGTGTCTGGGGAGAAACTACCAGGCGAACGGACACGGAGTCGACGCCAAAGACCTGGCAGAGAAAATGATGCAGCTCTCCACTGAGGTCTGTGCTCCACCATTATCTCTCCAGTTACAGAAGTGCACTGTGTAATTATAGAAGTCTAGTGTTTGAATTGTAAAAGAAGAGCAGATTTTTAAACGTGTCTTTTCTTTTCAGAGGTCGGAAGACTCGAACGCTGCTGCGAAAACCTCAGGCTCAGTGTCACCAGCAGATTTCTTCAGCCAAACTCCAAAAGAAGCCAGCAACTTTCAGATCCCAGTTACTTGTGGTAAAACTACTCTACTCTAATTTAGTGTATTTTACTTCATTTTCAGACCTGTCACAATAGCATACAAGTGTTTTATTGCTACAGAAAATACTGCACTTATAATAAGGTCTTATGTAGCGCTTTTTTCTCTGACAGCAAAATAAGATTCAATTCTGGCAACTGGACAAAAGTCGTAATCTTTTAATACTCGATGGTGGTAAGCTTCTTTTATAGCTACAGTCATGCTAGGGTAGACTGTAAGGCTGTCTTAACTGCGCCATCGGACTCTAGGTGAAGTGTTTTGCCCAAGAACACAACAACAACATGCACTAGAGCCACTGCTGCTCCACTGTGACATCTCCTGTTCCCATCGAAGCACTGACCAGAACAAGAACTTGGCTTCTGACTACTACATAATAACTAAGCCCCAGTGTCTGTCTTTATTAAATACAGAAATTTGAATTAAAACAACAGTTATTCTTATTACAGGGTTCCCACGGTCATGGAAATCCTGGAAAAGTCATAGAAATTGAAAATGTAATTTTTCAGGCCTGGAAAAGTCATGAAATCTTAGTATCTCTTTCACACAACCACAGCGTTCTGTTAAGTTCTCATTAGACTATTACGATTATTTCTGAATGTCTGCGCCTTTTGTTAAAAAGAGACGACAATAAATGCACTGACAGTATTTTAAATGTTAAAAAACTATAATCCTAAACCATAAGGTGAGTGGAAAGAGTTAACATTTCATATTTGGGTCTAAAAGTCTGATCAATTCTACACATGAAGGTGTCATGGAAAGTGTAGCCCGATTCATCAGCCGGTTTCACTTCGTGGAAACCGTCTGACCTCACAGCATTAGCTGCTCTTCGCTGATTGGCTGGTGTGCAGTCTACAACTTCCAGGGTTCTTGCAAACTGTCTAGTGTATTCCGATTTCTGACTTAGTTGCTGGAGAGAAATGAAATTGAGCGGAGGCAATAGGTTGCGCCAGCCTGGCTAGAAAAAGTCATGGAAAAGATTTGAAATTTTGTCAGTGAAAAAGAGTGGGAACCCTGTTATTACTATTTCTTATTTCTTACTTGTAATGTGGCAGTTCTAGTATTTTTGTTGTATTTAGCCATAGAGTAAAACATTTTTTATGTCTTTTTTTCCCAGATACAGATGGTCTGATCAGCCAGGCGCTGCTGGTGGGAAACTTTGAAGGAGCGGTGGATTTGTGTTTGAACGATGGGAGATACGCGGAGGCCATTTTGTTGGCGATCAGCGGAGGAGAGGAACTGCTGAAGAAGACGCAGCAAAAGTATCTGAGCAAACAGAAGAACAGCGTTTCTATGGTGAGAAGAGAAACTCGAGCTGGCTGTTATGACAAAACAAATCACTTTACACCTTAAATTTTATATTTTTATTAAAAACACATAACACTCCCTCCAAAGTCAGAGTTTTAGGGTGTGATTTGAATGAACAGTGGTGTATCCAGTTTCAGTTTTTAACCACAAGATGGCAGCAAAGTGTAAACAAATAATGATACCCAGGAAAAACACTTATGATCCACAAATGTTGAACCTCAGCCTCATTATTATTTGTTTGGGATTGACTCCATTTTTCATATGAATCTTCTTATTTCTACAACACTCACGTCTTTGAATGTGGTTGAATAATGGCTTCACTTTCTGAAGCCAGTGTCAAAATGATTTCACTTAAGTAAATTTGATTGATTAATGATTGCATTGTATAATTTCTGCATTCTCCCATGTTATTTTTCACTTAATAACCCTCTATCCCTGTATCTCTGTCTCTCTCTCAGCTGATCTCGTCAGTGGTGACCCAGAATTGGAGGGACATCGTGGAGAGCTGTGAACTGGACAACTGGAAAGAGGCTCTGGCCGCTCTGCTGACCTATGCACATCCAGAAGACTTTGCTCACCTCTGCGGTACATATACACATTATATTTACTATGAATTTTATCTGCCAACTTGTGTTAACAAACCTCTGTTTTGGTAATTTTAAGGCAGAAACAGAATGAAAAAAAAAAATCTGTCGTTAATGCGAACTTAAAAAATTAAATGCAATAATTGTACACAAAGCACATTACATGTTACATATTTGTAGTTAAACAAGACCCAAATATTTTATCTTTTGCATTCTGTATTTGTATAGTACAAATGTAACTATGGTTCTATGAATCCTGGATGACTGCCAGTGATGGTGGTAAACTTCTTTTATAGCCACCTCCCTGGGGTAGACTGTGACGCTGCCAGTCTGCACCATCGGATCCTGGGTGAAGTGTTTTTATTACATAAAAATGTCAAAAGGCTCCACATTATTGCAAAGAAAATGTATCCACCCCCAGGTTGATGTTGTAATTATGGTGACAGGCCTAAGTAGTGATGATATACTGGTAGATCTCCTGGTACGCTATGTCAAAAAAGGTACAAAAATACCCATTAAACTATATCTTTCCTCTTCTTCCTCTCCACAGACACGCTGGGCGGTCGTCTGGAGGCCGAGCTGACAGAGAAGCGCTCTCTTCAGGCCTGTCTCTGTTACATTTGCTCCGGAAACATCGAGAAGCTTGTGGAATGTTGGGCTCAGCACCGAGACTGCTCCTCTCCACTCGGACTGGAGGTGAGGAAGAGGAAATAACAATTCATAAATGTAAAAATAGATACAACATACTGTGTGTATATATATATATATATATATATATATATATATAAGTACTACACAAGCTACAGTAATAAAAGTGGATTTATTGTGCACAAATGTTGCTTGGCTAAAAAAATGCTTTGTTGAACGTCTTCCTAAACTCTTGTATTTTTTCCAGGATCTTGTGGAGAAGGTGATGATGCTGCGTAAGTCCATCGAGCGCCTCAGAAACAGTGAGGTCTCGGTCCAAAGCCCAATTCTGGCCGATAAACTCACGCGCTACGCCGGCATCCTGGCAGCAGAGGGCAGTCTCTCCATCGCCAACGCCTACCTGCCCGAGAACTCAGAGGAGGTAAGGATCTCTTTGCCCATCTCTTCAGGAGCAGCATTTCCATGAGCAGCAGTTCTCACATTTCTAATATTCTTTGTGGTTTCTTGTTTCTCTTCAGACCAGTATCAGGATGCTCAAAGATCGTCTGCTCCACGCTCAGGGAGAAGGAGCTGCAAACTACCCCTCCAGACCCAACCAGCCCCAAACCAAACCCGCCCCGGCCCCTCAGCCCTCTGCGCCCAAAGCACAAATCATGGTAAAATCTGTTTATACCAGTATATCTGCTGTATTTTACTTATGCACGTTTGTAAGTCTCTTTTTTTGCCTTGATTTTAACATTTTTTTAAGAGAATTTATTTCAAATTTGTCTATTGCTGATTTATGAATCTTGTTTCTCTGGTCCAGGGTCAGTACCAGCCGCAGCCCCCACAGCAGCCTCAGATGCCCCAAATGCCCCAGATGCCCTCCCTCTTCACTGCTCAGTCTCCCACCTCCAACACGGGCCCAGGTCTGCCCCCTACTGGCCTTGGGATGAACCCCTCTGCGCCCAGACAGATGAGGCCCTCCTACCCCCAGCACCCCCCCGCTCCAGGTGGGACTTTTCATTCTGTTTACTGCTTTATTATTACATGTTGAAAAAATATGTAAATGGTGTCAAATATTATATGTATTCACAACTTTTATAAGCTTTTTCCTCATTATTTGCTTACTTACAAAGGTTAACCTGGATTAAAACTAAAATATTTAGCATTTTATGCCATTTAAAGGAACAGAATGTAATGCCTGCAGGATTCTATGGAAAAGTTTTTTTACCATACTGTGGGATATTATTAGCCTGATTCATCAGCTGGTTTCACTCCGTGGAAACTGTCTGACCTCACAGTGTTAGAATTCGTTCACTCGATGGTAGACGGGTATTTTTTTTATTTAACCAATTGCTGCTGTTTGGTCTTGACGTATGTAATGCGCCACTAACTGGACTAACTGGTATATTAAGCTTTTCCCAAATTCCGTAGGAAGAAGGACAATAACGTCTTTCCCCTTGATAAAATTTACCAAACATTCTCTCGATCTCGGGAATCGTTGCCAACACAGAATGTCTGTCTTCGTCTACATCCATCTCAACGCTTTGTTTACTGTTGTGTTGTTCCACAAAAGGGACCCAGACAGACGCGACGAGTTTGACGTCACAGCTTCACAGCTCTTCACTGATTGGCTTGGTGTGCGGTCTACAATCTGTGTGCCTGGTTTGTACACTGTGCACATGGCCTCCCACTTGTCTTGACCGGGACAGAAAACGTGTACAAGTCATTGTTAAATACGCATTTGAGCTTTGGCATGTTGCAAGCTGACCGACTGTTTGTATCTGAGTGCACAGAGAGCTACGAGAGCCGCTCAGTTTAATGGCCCAATGAAAAGAAATGAAAACCCGGACATTTGCATCACTTTATTAAAAAAAAAAAAAAAAAAACCTGGACGGCCAGAACAGGACATGAAAATCTGACATCACCTGGGAAAAACGGACTAGTGTATTCTGATTCTTGACCTAGTCGCTGGAGAGAAATGAAATTGAGCAGAGGCACTTGGTGGTAAAGATATTATAGCCAATAGAACAAAATTATCATGGAAACAAGCAGGAGACTAAATGAAAGTTTGTGGAGATTCAAGCTCGCTCACAGTAAAGATACAAGTTTTTTTAGTGCAACAAATACAAACAAACAACCCTAACCTCACTGGGCTGGAATTGTTTCTTATTTTCTTGTTAATTTTAAGTCATTAAAATGTCCAAATTAAAACATAACAAACCACAAGTGCCATAGATTATAACGACGGTATACAGCAGACATAAGCACAAGGTCTTCTTTAATATAATTCATATTTTTGTGTCTTTCGCAGGTTTTATTCCACAACCGCCATTCCAGCCTCAGCCAATGGGAGCTCCGTCCTCCTTCCCCCCGCCTCCAGGGTCCTCCATGCCCCCCTCCTCCATGTCTATGCCCCCTTCCTCTATGTCTATGCCTCCTTCCTCCATGTCCATGCCCCCTTCGTCTCTCTCTGGACCCCCCTCCTCCATGTCTATGCCGACTTCCATGTCTGGTCCCCCTTCTTCTCTCTCCGGCCCTCTCCAGCCCCCGGGCGTCCCTCCCACCACGTTCATGCCCTCCACCTCTATGCCCTCCGGCCTTGTAGCGCCCCCTAGCTCTCAGCCCGGAGCGCCCGTGCCCATGTACCCGGGTGCCATGCATAGCCAGCAGGGACCGACCTCTCCGCCCTTCACCCCGATGGGAGCGGGGTACCCACAGGGGGGTCCAGGAGCTCCCGCCGTGAAGCCTTACCCTGCAGCAGCCATGCCTCCTCCACCCACAGGTCAGTCTGTGAAAAGTCGTAATAATGGTTTATTCAAAATTAAAACTATTTTACAAACTGTGAACAATTTAAAAGTAAATAAAAAGGTTCAGAAATGTAAAATATACACATTATATTGACTGGATTGGCCTCAAGAGACAACAGCACACTCTTCATTGGATAAAATATAACTTAAATTTTGAATCTTCATCTCAGTTTTAAGGGGTTTGACCAGATTTTATTTAACTGTTTCACAGCTCTAGATGATAAGACTTGTGTCAAATTATTTACATATCTTTGCTCTTTATTTTAAGCCATCATAGAAGAATAAATAAAAATACAGTCTGGAGTTTAAAGGGTTCATATTACTCTATTTTCTGATGTTATAATGTAGTTTCCTCATCACAAACAGACCTGGAGTTGTGTTTTGTTGAATTCACACAATGTTTAAAACATAAACTCTGCAGATTAAGGCTGAGTTATTCTCTCAAACAGAAAATTATGATTAAATAAAAGATAAAAAAGGAGCTGTTAACTTGAAAACTGCTGCTTCATGATATCACAAGGTGGAACAGAGGATTTTGAGCTTTGGAGATGTAGACAGACTCATAATAAAGAGTTACTGAAATATGTGTGGATGAAACAAAACACAACTCCAGGTCTGTTTTTGAGGAGGTAACATTATAGCACGACTTAAAGCTCACAATATAATATAAGACCTTTTTAATATATAAACTAGGGCTATCTGCAAATTTCTGAATAGTAAAGATGCACTGTGTAGCTTTTCTGTCACCTACTTGTCTACACTTCGATATCCCACAATTTGGCATTAAACTTTTAAACTATCTATCTTGCATTTATTCACTTTCTGGTGGCTTTATAGGGATACACACCTCGATACATAGGCCACGATACGATACATATCTTGATACAGTGAGCTTTCAGTTCGATATATTTCAAATCGATTTAATACGGTTCAATAAAAAATAAAACTAAAACATGGCTGTGATACTTGTCTTTGTTAAACCACGTCTTGTGCAAAGTTCATATGAAACACAAAAATTGTAATAATCAAAACAGTGAAAATGTCAAATGCGTCGCATAAACAAGTTTCATTCTTCTGAACAAGAAACAAAACTGTAGCTCTGTAACAAAATAATTTGGTAAAATAAAAAAAAATACTTGTACTATATATCGATACAGCAGCCCATGATATCGATACTGTACTGAACACAATATATCGATATTTAAATATTTTGCACACCCCTGGTTACACATGTAAGTGATTTTATTGCTAAAAACTAAAATAATTCTCACTGTGAATGGGCTCGCCTCTACACAGATCTCACATGTAACTTAGTCTGATGGTGATACTTATTTATTTCCTGTTTTCTTTGTCATACTAGAAGAAACAAGTTCATATTTCCAAAGAAAACATAAAACATTTTGCAAATTAAATCAGATACGTTTTCCAATTTTTTTGCAAAATTACTGAACTTGAAATGTTGTGGTCGTTGTGTGATTTTCAGGAGTTTTTCCGTGGCTGTACTCCTCTACGACAGGTGAAAGGTTTAGAACAAGATTAAAGTAAAGAGTGAAAAATAAACATGCACTAACTGACCACACAGCACCAGAAATAAAACAGATTTAAGCTCATTATATTCTCATTTTGAATCATTATATTTGGTCGAATATTGGATGTTGTTGTGGTCACTTTAGTGCATGTGGAGTGTGCCTACGCCGCATCTGCTTTAATATGATTCTTGTTTTGTCTAATTAAAAGCATTTTGGAAACGCTAATAGAAAACTATAGACCGCTACACGCTGAAGGAGTTTCTGATGCTGATGTCTGGATATTTTTGCATTTTTCAAGGCGTTTTTGCACTTTCTGATTTAAAGCTGTTGGCTCAATTTGCATTATTTCTGTTCTTGCGTCGTTAAAAAGTGTTTTTGTTTTGATTCAGGGCCACAGGAAGGATGGAACGACCCTCCAGCTGTGAGAGGAGGACCCAGGAAGAAGAAGGTAAGACACTCGACTGCACACAAGATGTTTTAATTAATCTGGAAACGTTTTTTTGGATTGTTTTTATATTTTCACCTAACAATAGCAGAGGGAGACACTTTTAGGTAAATAAGAGAATAAACTAAGATACATTTTCTTTTCTTCCACGCACAAACGCATGTTAGTGAGTATATTTTGATGCAGAAACAATGAGCAAGTGCACATTTTACACTCTTCTCTTGAGTCATTGTTTTATGTTGCACCATAACTTGAAACCAAAGTTCATAGTTTGTGAATTTAGTGACAAAAATGTATTCTATCTTAAAGGTGCATTGTGTAACTTTTCAGGTGGAGAGTCCATCACCTGCGTGTATCAGCTCCACCTTACATTTATTCAAATACAGATGGTTTTACTGCTCAAAAACCTACCTAGAAAACCTAGAAAAATAGGCATTCTGACTGTGAGCGGGGTCGCCTCTCCACAGATCTGATACCATAATGTGAAAGTCAAGGCAATGATATCTTCATGGAGAAAAGTTAATTTAGCTTAATATCCATTGTTCCCACAGTCATGAAAATCCTGGAAAAGTCATGGAGTTTTGTAAATTCAAAGAAAGTTTTGGAATAGTCACGGAATTTTTGTATCTTTTTCACTCAACTGCAGCGTTCTGTTAAGTTCTCATTAGACTGTTATGATTATTTCTGAACGTCTGCGCCTTTTGTTTTAAAAGAGCCGACAACAAATGCACTGACAGTATTTTGAATGTTAAAAAACTATAATCCCAAACCATAAGGTGAGTTAAAGGGTTAACATTTCATATTCAACCCTAAAAGTCTGATCAGTTCTACACATGTAGGTGCTGTAAAGTCATGGAAAATTCACTTTAGGTCATGAATAAGTGGAAAAATTTTGAAATTTTGTTAATTGAAAAAGAGTGGGAACATGAGGCTCATCTAAGTTTGTTTGTGAATCCAGCTCCTGTTAAATCTGATCTGTGGTCTTGTTTCCAGGTCCCAGAGAACTACACTCCTCCGGCCCCGATCACTGCTCCTGTGATGGGCTACGAGGCCCCTCAGCCCCAGGACCTCCACACACAGGTGCCTCCAGGGGCCCCACAAGAGCCCACTGTACAGGTCTGTATGCTCCAGGATAACACGAGACAACATTTAGACACTAACATATGATACTTTTATTTTAAGTAAAGCACTGTACCTGATTTCTACCTTCTTAAAAACATGAACAACAAAACTAGATCATTTTAAACAGTCCAAAGTTACCGTATTTTTCTGACTATTAATTATGAAGAAGAAAAAAAACATACATAAGTTGCACAGGACTATAAGTCGCACTTTGGTTGAAATTTATTTTATAAAATCAGAGACCAGGAACTGACATTTTATCTTGAAAGTCAAGTTCTAGTAATAACAATAGAAGAGAGAAGAACAGACTGTTAACGTCACATATGAACAGTTCTTCAGATAAATATAACATAAACAACAGAACAGAACAAGTTTAACAAACTCTCCATCTCACTCCAAATCACTAAATCCATAGTTGTTAGACTCAGCATCAGTTCCAGTTAGAATTATTCTGGGCTTTCTGAATCCCGACAGGATGGTTTCGGTGTAAGTCCAGACTTTGTCCATCCATCCAGTGACTTCAGGAAAGTTTCATGATGCATCCTCCCGCTGTCACAAGTTTCTCTCTCACTCCAAACTTTCTTTCTGCTGCTCAATTATCGTTTTCAGCTGCAGATTTCACGACTTGCAGTTTGTAATCTGCAAAATATGATTTTGTTTTTGGGAGCATTTGTGTTCAGTCTTCTCAGTTGTTTTTATAAGATTGTTTTATTGTTCAGTGGTGCAGAAGTAATGGTTTGATCGACTGACATGATACAGACAGGACAGAGGCTCTTTCTGCAGGAGACATGTGCAGTAGAGCCAAGTGACAGTGGTACAGGAGGAACAGGAGCAGCAGATACTCACACACAAGACTAGAACCTCTCCACACTTCACTGAAACATTTTAATATTTAAGTCACACCGGAGAATAAGTCGCAGGAAACACCCAAACCATGAGAAAAAGTGCGACTTATCCGAAAAATATGGTATTCCTCACTTACCTTATGCATTCAGACATCATAATTCCTCACCATGATGAGTTTAAGTGCTTTTCACAACTTTCAGAGACCAGAGGGGAGTTTGCCGAAGCGGTAAAGCTAACAGCTAGCATGCTTATCACGCACTTCCTTATTATCTGACAATAAAATTCTGTGTCATTAGATGCAGACAGAACACAACAGACTTATACTGACCTAAAGAGATGGTTATACAATATACAATCTATACTGAGGCAAGATACATTTTCTTCAAATACATTTGAAAAAACAGGTACAGGGCCTGTTTTGTTATTTTTCAAAACAAAAACCTTCTCTCTTTTCCAATTTATTTCCAATTTCCTCTGTCCTCAGCTCCTGCAGCAGTTACCGGCCGAGCGCGTGGAGCAGAAGGAGATCCCCTCTGAACATTTGGTCCTGAAATCCACGTTCGACAGTTTGGTTCAGAGGTGCCAGCTCGCGGCAGGAGACCCAGTGAGTCACAAAAATATGAACAAAAAAAACACCTTTCAAGCCCACATCTAAGCCAGAGTAATGAGTGTGCAGACACAGTGGGAGGTTTATGTAAAGTAACGAGAGTTTTTTGATCACAGCAAACCAAGAGGAAACTGGACGACGCGGCGAAGCGGTTGGGGTTTCTCTACGACAAACTCAGAGATCAGTCGGTAAGAAGTTTAAAGACGATTATGTGCCAAATACAGCAGGAGGGGAGAATAAACTGCAGAGATAAATATCCACATAACACATCCAAGTTGTTTCTTATCAGTTCCATTTAATAAGCCATTTTTTATCACGGCTATAGCTTTTTTTTATCGATATTGGGGGCTGCTGTATCGATATATCGCCAAGAGTATTTTTTGGTATATTTTACTCAATTATTTTGTTACAGAGCTACAGTTTTGTGGGTTTTTTTTAGAAGGAGGAAACTCGTTTATGCGACACATTTGACATTTTCACAGTTTTTGATGATTAAAATTTTGTGCTTCATATGAATTTTACACAAGAAGTGATTTAACAAAGACTTTAGTATCACAGTCATGATTTAGCCTTTATTTTTATTTTATTTTCCATCCTGCGTTAGGGTTGTTGTGTCAGTTGTATACATTACTTTTCAATACTATCGTTTATCATCTATATTTAGGCAAAATATCAAACTTCAAAATGTATTATCGTGACAGGCCTACTCACGGTACGATATTTATTGCAATATCGTGGAAAAGCTCACAGCATGGTTGGGAGGTTTACAATATTACTATATTATACATAATAACAAGACTGACATTATAAAATGCTTTGACTTTGAATGCATTTGGTCCAACATTTATTGTCATATTCTAGGGATGTAAAAATATCCAAATATTATCATGATACGAATCTCACGGTACGATATTTATTGTGATATTTTAGATATTTCAGAGGTTAATTAAAAGATGGGACACTTTTTTCTTTTAAAAGACCTTGACAAGATTTTGGTGTGAATTATTACTGCAGAATCCCAAGAGTTCAAGTAAAAAAACATATTTCTTTGTTGTCTGCGCTGAAATGAATCATGGGAAATGTAGTTCTCTATGTTTATAAGCTGTTGCAACTCTAAAACCTGCATTTAAGCAAAGGAACTTGTGATTTGATATACTGTGACAGCTCACGATATTATTATGAGACTTTTGACGATACGATATCACGATATTTCAGATATTTATTGTTACATCCCTACTTATAAGTCATTTTCTGATAGTTTTAAGTGTTTAAATCTTACATTTTGTCCAAGGTTTTTTTTTGTAGTGAATGTCTGATACCTCTGCTTTTACTGAGCATTGTATTTTCCACAAACTGTTTTTCTAACATTTTGTCCCTGTGTGCTCGCCGTAGCTCTCTCCTCACATCCTAAACGGCCTTCATGAGATCAGCCGGTGCGTGGCGGGGCAGAGTTACCAGCGCGGCCTGGAGGTCCACACTCAGATCGTCAGCAGCAGCAACTTCAGCGAAATCTCCGGGTTTATGCCAATCCTCAAAGTGCTCATGACCATCGCCACGCGCCTCGGGGTCTAACACCAGGGGGCTCCGCGTCTCCAGTCCATAGTGTTAAAGTCACATGTTAAATATTTATTTCCTGTTTCTTTTTTTTTTCTTACTTTTGAACCAATGACGTCGAGCGATGGAGGAAATTCTAATGGATTGTTGGTCGGTGACACTCCACTGAAAACATGGCAGCAAAATAGATAGAATTAGGAATTAAAATGACTGCGAAAGGTGCACTGTGGAACTTTTCTAATACTAAGGGTTGTTACCATGGAGATTACTTGGCTTGGAATGTTCCGCAGTACGGCATTTATTCAATTACAGATATTTTCAGTGCTCAGATCCGACTTTTTTTTTGTTGTCACTTCAAATTTGCACGTTGATTTGGCACACGGTTTAAATCAGGTTATGTCATTTTTGTAAAGATGGTGGTCGCTACCATGGTGATTTTATTGCCTTGTTTGGAATGTTCCACGATAAGGCATTAATCTACCTATCTATCTCGCATTTATTCAATTGTAAGTGTTCTCATTCGTCAAAAATATCTAGAAAAACTGGCGTTCTCACTGTGAGCTGGCTCGCCTCTCCACAGATCTGGCCTGTAATTGCACCCGGTGATGTTTCCTCATTCTCTCTAAGCATATGTTTAATACCATACTGTGGAAAATTCCAGGCAAAGCAGTAACATTTCTATTAAAACAAGCAGGAAAGTTAGAAGTTTTTATTCATCAAAAATACCTCAAAAAAACTTGCGTTCTTACTGTGAGCTGTCTCGCCTTTCCATAGATCTGACTGTAATGTGACCCAGTCATGGTTCCTGCTTTTTCCCAAGCATATGTTTAATGCCATACTGTGGAAAATTACAAAACAATAACTGTTAAAAAACAAGCAGAGAAGTTCTTATAGCTCAAAAATAACGAGAAAAACAGGCATTCTGACTATGAGCTGGCTCGCCTCTCCACAGATCTGACTTGTAATGTGATCTGGGGGTGGTTCCTCCTTCTTTCCAAGCATACGTGTAATGCCATACTGCGGAAAATTCCAGGCAAAGCAATAACATCTCCATACAAACAAGCAGAAAAGTTACAAGTTCATATTCATCAAAAATACCTCAAAAAACAGGCATTCTTACTGTGAGCTGGCTCGCCTCTCCACAGATCTGACCTGTAACGTGATCTGGTGGTAGTTCCTCCTCCTCTCCAAGCATACGATTAATGCTATGCTGCGGAAAATTCCAGGCAAAACAAAACAAGCAGAAAAATGACAAGTTCGTATTCTTCAAAAATACCTCGACAAACATTCGTTCTTACTGTGAGCTGGCTCGCCTCTCCACAGATCTGACTCTGTGTACATTTAAAACCATACTGTGGAAAATTCCAGGCAAAGTAATAACATCTCCATTAAAAAAAACAAGCAGAAAAGTTACACAGTGCATCTTTAACTCATTTAGATATATTTTTTGTATTGTTTGGGTATAATTTGATGAAAATGTCGGTAGTTTTATGGATTCATTAATTGTCGGGAATTGTCAAAGATGCTGTGGGAATTTAAAGATGAACTGAATGTATTTTGGATGTTTTATTTGTCTTAAAGAGTTCATGTATCAGACAAGCATTTAAAATACACCCCTGGATTTCAATATAAGCATATTTACACAACTCCGCTTCATGGTTTAGTTTAATTTCATGTTAGAAAAGCAAACTGAACCTGGCTGGGCAACACAGAAATAACATGAAAAAAAAAATCTAAAAGCGAAAGTAAAAGCAGGTCAATCTGTGTATCATTCGTTCTTTTGTTTATCAATATAAAAGTAAAAATAAGAAAATGAAAAAGCAACTGTTTTCTTCATTATTTGTCTCCAAAACCAAAATGAAAACACTGATAATGATTTGTTTTTTTCAGTTTTTGATTTTGTGTTAAAATGAATAATGGAAAAAAATGGATAACGACTGTTTCCCGTTTACGTGACTTAAACGACAATGCTGGACTGAACCAGGACTAAACCGTTTTTAGTCCTCGTCTGGTCCCGGCCCCGGTCCCGGCCCCGGTCCCGGCCTCGGTCCCCGGCCTCGGTCCCGGCCTCGGTCCCGGCCTCGGTCCCGGCCTCCCCGGTCCCGGCCTCAGTCCCATTCTGAATCGCAGTCTTAATCACGATCCGGTCCTAGGCTGGTCCCGGCCTCAATCCTGGTCTCAGTCCTGGTCTCAGTCCTGGTCTGGTCCCAGTTTGGTTCAGTCCTGGTTCAGTCCGGCATCACAGTTTTAAGTGATGTAAACTGGAAACGGTCGTTATCCGTTTTTTCCATTTTTCATTTAAACACAAAATCAAAAACTGAAAAAAAAAAAAAATTATCTGTTTTCTCATTTTGGTTTTGGAGACAAATAATATAATAATAATATTATATAATATATAAATAATATGATATAATAAAACTGTTCTTTTTTTTTCGATTTTATTTTTGTTTTTTATATGGAAAAACGAATGAACGAATGATACATGGATTTTTTTGGAATACATTTTAAGTCAGATGCCCTCTCTCCTGGTTAAACTCAGACTATTCCATCTTGATACTGGAATAATGACTATAGTCTTAACACAATGCAGGGTTCCCACGGTCATGGAAATCCTGGAAAAGTTGTGGAAATTGAAAATGTCATTTTCCAGGCCTGGAAAAGTCATGGAATTTTAGCATCTTTCACACAACTGCAGCCTTCTGTTAAGTTCTCATTAGGCTATTCTGATTTCAGAACCTACGCACCTTTTTTTTTTTTTAAAAAGGGATGACATTTCAGGTGGAGAGTTCTTCACCTGCTTGTTTCTATGGATGCGTCAATGCTTTGTCTGGAATGTTCCACAGTATGTCTTTAAACAGCTCTACTTTGCATTTATTCAATTACAGGTGGTTTTATTGCTCAAAAATACCTAAAAAAACAAATATTCTGACTGTGAGCGGTGTCGCCTCTCCACAGATCTGACCTGTAACTTGGTCTGGTTTGGTCTCCATGAAGATAGAAAGGTTTAATGCCACACTGTGGAACATTCCAGACAAAACAACAACATCTCCATGAAGAAAAACATTCGACGGACCCTCCACCAGAAAAGCTACAAGATGAGAGATTATTATTTGGCTCCAGCTGCGTTAATTCAGTCAGAAAATTCGTTCATTTTTCTAATAAAACTTGATTTGTACGAACATAAAAACCCCGTATTGGGCTATTTTCTGATTATGTTATAACGTTTCCTCATCACAAACAGACCTGGAGTTGTTTAGTTTCATTTCATTCACAGTTACAGGAAGTGCTCCACTGTGTTTTTAAACTCCACACACCTTCAGTAGAATCATTTGAGATCATTTCACCTCTGGCTTTACCAATTTTCTCTACTGAACTAAATGTAAAATGTCGCTATTCACTTGAAAACTACCACTTCATGACATCACAAGTTGAAACAGATCATCTTGACAATAATAAAGAGTTATTTAAAGATGTGTGAATGAAACAAAACACAACTCTAGGTCTGTTTTTGATGAGAAAACAACATTATAACACGACTTAAAGCTTTCAATTTCTAAGTTTATTTGCCCAGCCCGTGTACAAATACTATAACTACTACTACTACTTTGAACGCAGTACCCGTCGATACTTCAAAATCTCTAAAAAATAGGAGTAGAGTAAAGTTTGGTGCTTATATTTTCAGTGTTTAAGATAAGATTGAAAAGTTCTTGTATTTATTGTATCATAGTGAGACTGGTCATATCTGCTGCTCTGAGAAGTTTTTGTTTTGTTTTTTCATCTTTTTTTTTTTTTTTGGGCCAAAGTCAAATTCACGTACGACAGTGATTCTCAAAAAGGTGAAGAGTTAAAGTTTCATTACGTAGCTTTTCTGGGAAGTGGGTTTGGTGTTGCTTTGTCTGGAATGTTCCGCAGTTCGGCGTTAAAATGATCCATCTCGCATTTATTCGATTAAACTACAAATATCTGGTGTTAGTGTGGTCGCCTGTCCGCAGATCTGACCTGTAAATTGGCCCGGTGGCGCTTGTGGAACGTTCCAAAGCAATAACGTTACCATGGAAACGTGCGAGAGAACAAGTTACGTAGTGTATCTTTAAAGAGGTCGTTTGCAGACGATTTTGGTTCTGCTTCAGTCTTGGTTTAGGCTTTATTTAGCTGGTGTTGAGAACTGGTTCAGTCCTGGTTCAGTCCTGGTTCAGTCCTGGTTCAGTCCTGGTTTAGTCCTGGTTCAGTCCTGGTTCAGTCCTGGTTTAATCCTGGTTCAATCCTGGTTTAGTCCTCGTTCAGTCCTGGTTCAGTCCTCGTTCAGTCCAGTCCTGGTTCAGTCCTGGTCCTGGTTCAGTCCTGTTCAGTCCTGGTTCAGTCCTGGTTCAGTCCTGGTTTAGTCCTGGTTCAATCCTGGTTTAGTCCTCGTTCAGTCCTGGTTCAGTCCTGGTTCAGTCCTGGTTCAGTCCTGGTTCAGTCCTGGTTCAGTCCTGGTTCAGTCCTGGTTCAGTCCTGGTTCAGTCCTGGTTTAGTCCTGGTTCAGTCCTGGTTCAGTCCTGGTTTAGTCTCAACATGGACCTGATGCAGTTCTGAAAAAGCCCGGGATTGTAAATTGCTTTAGTCTCTGTTTGGACCTGATACAATTAAGAGACCCTGGTTTAGATCTAGTTTAGGCTTGGTCCTGGTTTTGACCAAGTTATAATTGTATTTCAGTTTTGGTTAGGTCTTTGTTTAAACCAGACCAGATCCCATTTTTAGTCCTGGTTCAGTCCTGGTTTAGCCCTTATTTAGCCCTGATTTAATCTGGTTTCAGTCCTTGTTTAATTCTGGTTTAGCCCTGATTTAATCTTGGTTTAGCCCTGGTTTAGACCTGGTTTTGTCTTGGTTTAGTTATGTTTTAGTTGTAGTTCAGTTTTGGTTCAGTCCTTGTTTAGTCCTGGTTTAGCCCTGATTTAATACTGGTTTAGTCCTGTTTTTTTCTTGGTTTAGCCCTGGTCTAGTCCTGGTCTAGTCCTGGTTTAGTCCTGGATTAATCTTAGTTCAGTCCTGGTTTAACCCTAGTTTACCTCTGGTTTACTTCGAGTTTAGTCCTAGTTTAGACCTGGTTTAGTCCTGATTTAATCTTCATTTAGTTCTGGTTTAGTCCTGTTTTTTCTTGGTTTACTGTGGGTTTAGGTCTGTTCTTAGTCCTTATCTAGTCCTGGTTTATTCTTGGTTCAGTCCTTGTTTAGCCCTCGTTTTAGCCCTGGTTTAGTCCTGGTTCAGTCCTCGTTCAACCCGATTTATGTAAACAGAAAGTCATGATTCAATTCTGGATATGTTAGAACTGATTCCACTTTAAGCCTTGTTTAGTCCTGGATAAGTCCTGGTTTACTGTGAGTTTCGTCCTGGTCTAGTCCTGGTTTCGTCCTGGTTTCGTCCTGGTCTAGTCCTGGTTTAGTCCTGGTTTAGTCCTGGTTCAGCCTGATTTAAGTTTATGGAAAATCTTGATTCACTTCTGGATATGTTAGAATAGATTCAACTTTTAAGCCTGGTTCAGTCCTTGTTCAGTCCTGGTTTAGTTCCAGAGTGAAGTCCCGTCTTAGTCCCAAATTAGACGTGTCGTGTTTGTGTAAGGGGAGCAGCAGACTTAAAGTTGGTTCAGTCATGGTTTTTGTTTGGGTTTTAGTCCCATTTTCAGTCCTTTAGTCCACTTTTAGTTTTTCCCGTCTCTTATTCTCTGTGTAAAAGTTTGAGAATCACTGTTGTACCTTTTTATATTTTTTGTTTTGTCCATTTTACTTTTCTGCAAACTCTCCTCTTCCTCTTCAGTCTTAACTTGAGTCCACCCTTCACTCCTGCTTCATTCATTCATCACATTTTAATAATATTTTAGTTTTAGGTCGAGTTAAATGAATTGAAAAGTGGGATTTTTGTTGTTCATAGCTGGATTTTTGCTGGTAATTCTTGGTGTGTAAATCGGCAGCAGAGGGCGCTCAAGTGCCTCCAGTGTTGCGCATATTTATAAGAGTCATGTTGCTTAAACTTTAGTCATTTCAGGAACTTTTTTCGAATAAAATTTTACTTCATATCTCTGTAGACTGGTGCATTTTTAAATTCTAACACAACATCACCTTCATATTTTTTAGATAAATTCACATTTTTCAAAATAGAAGACAAAAGTTTACATATAAATTTGAAACTTTAACAGAATTTGGCTTAGAGTTTTAGTTTTTTTTTTTCAAGTAGTAGTGGGGTCGCCTCTCCACAGATCTGGCATGTCACTTGCTTGTTTTTGCGATTTAGACGAGTTTAATGCCGTTCTGTGGAACATTTGAGGCAAAGAAGTCACATTTAGACACAGACATAAAGGTTTTCAGTGCAATTTAGATGATTTATTGTGAAAATTGTGCGCAAATAAACATGTAAAATTGACCACAATCATCTATAATTTTTATTTTAACCGGTGATACTTATGGAAAAGCAATAATAAGACACCAGAATACAACTTTTCTTGGTTTCTATTGGCCTACATAGCCAAAATACACAGAAATACAAATATATTTTAATATAACAAAGTCTTTTTTTACCTTC